CTATAAGGAGCAGAGAGCTATTACTTTAGGCAGGTATTAGATAAGTCAGGTGGGGCAGAGTAAAAGAAACTGGGAAGTCCAGGCCTGTGTGACTACATTCTATTTTCTTTAAGTCAGCTCTTTGAGAAAACATAATGTGACACAGGGTATGTAGTCACTGAATTAGCTGTGGGTTTGAATTCTGGTTATTATGACACTGCTGAAAATTCATCAGTGGCTGGCCATTTAATTAAAACCTAAATCCTTATAATTGTTACAGGGTCCTATATATTGTCTTCCCAATATCTCTTTGGTCATTTCTTTTATCTCTTCCTCACTCCACCCTAGCCACTCTGGCCTGCTTGCCATACCACATCCTCTTGCATTGGGGAACTTTGTACTAATTATCCCCCTGACTGGAATACTACTCCCCCATATAGCTGTATAATTTGATCTTTCATTTTTTTAGATCCCTACTCAGAGTCACATTATCAAAAAGGTTACTCTGCCTACTCTGTCATTGTACCCTTCACCTGAATTTACTTCTCTTTATACCACTTATCATCACCAGATGTAGTTTATTTATCTTTGAGAATGTAAACTTCTTTTTTTTTGTTTTTTGTTTTTTTGGTGATACTAGTGGTGGTACTCAGTGCCTCATGCTTGCTAGGCAAATTTCTTGAAAGCAAGTGCCTTCTAGGGCATAGAGCAGTATAGAGTAGGTACTTTGAATGAATGAATGAGTGAACAAATGGGTTCTATAACTCATGAGCCTCACTATGTCCATACGCAACATCAGGATACTAATGCTTACTTACAGCATTGTTGGAGTCAAATAAGGTAACACTTTCCAAATACCTAACCCAAGTACCTGGTACATAGTAAATGCTCAGTAAATGCTAATTCCTGCCCTCATTCATAGATTATTTTTATGGCTGCCTGTTGATAGCTTTAGTGGTATCCGAATTCCCATTTAACTTAGATATATTTCAATACTAGTGATGAAGAAAAATGGTTATTTGTAACTGGGCACCATGGCTCATGACTGTAATCCCAGCTACTATGAAGACAGATTGGGAGGTATGATGGTTCACATCTGTAGTCCCAGGTATGTGGGAAGTATAGATAAGAGGATCATGATCTGAGGCCATCCAGGACAAAAACAAGAGACCTTATCCAAAAATAACTAAAGCAAAAAAGAGCAAAGGGGTATGCACTGGAGCGCTTGCCTAACAAGCCCAAGGTCCTGAGTTCAAACCCCACTACTACCAGAAAAAGAAATGGCTATTTGTACATAAAGCATTGTAGTGCTTATGTTTTCCTGTGCAACCATTTAGGTATAGACAGCCCTCACTTAATAAAACAGATATTTCTTAGGGAAGTTTTGTCCAAAGGCAAGTTTTTAGTCCAGTGAATCCTACACTTCTACTATAAAATTGAAGGTATATTTTTTCTAGGAAAACATATAAGATGAAAACCATCTTATGATGAAGATCCAAATAAGATGAAATCATGATCTAATGTGCTATAAACCGTTATGTTCTTCATATATCGGTTTGGAATTTTTGCTTTGCCCCACCCAGGATGCAGTGCTTTGGGCTAGGGAGATATGACTTGTCCATGCTGCTAAGGGCTGGGTGGCTCAGTTTCTCCTCAGGATACAGGCACTCAGCAGTGAATTAGCTTTTGCCTCATTTGCTTCTCATCAGACGTAGGTGCCTTAGCCTGTTAGCTAGTTATTGTAACTAGTACTTAATAAACTTTAGCTTGCTTTTTTTACTACTACTGGTGACCAGATTAGGGACAAGATTATGACTGTGACCCCAGCTTTTTTTTTTTTTTGTGGCAATGAGGTTTGAACTCAGGGCCTCACACTTGCTAGGCAGGCGCTCCACCACTTGAGCCACTCCACCAGCCCTTTTTTTTTTTAATTTTTATTTTTTATTATTCATATGTGCTTACAATGCTTGGGTCATTTCTCCCCCCTGCCCCCACCCCCCTCCCTTACCACCCACCCCTCCCCCTCCCTCTCCCCCCACCCCCTTGATACCCAGCAGAAACTATTTTGCCCTTATTTCTAATTTTGTTGTAGAGAGAGTATAAGCAGTAATAGGAAGGAACAACGGTTTTTGCTGGTTGAGATAAGGATGGCTATACAGGGAGTTGACTCTCATTAATTTCCTGTGCATGTGTGTTACCTTCTAGGTTAATTCTTTTTGATCTAACCTTTTCTCTAGTTCCTGGTCCCCTTCTCCTATTGGACTCAGTTGCTTTGAAGGTATCTGCTTTAGTTTTTCTGCGTTGAGGGCAACAAATGCTAGCTAATTTTTTAGGTGTCTTACCTATCCTCACACCTCCCTTGTGTGCTCTCGCTTTTATCATGTGCTCAAAGTCCAATCCCCATTGTTGTGTTTGCCCTTGATCTAATGCCCGCATATGAGGGAGAACATACGATTTTTGGTCTTTTGGGCCAGGCTAACCTCACTCAGAATGATGTTCTCCAATTCCATGCATTTACCAGTGAATGATAACATTTCGTTCTTCTTCATGGCTGCATAAAATTCCATGGTGTATAGATACCACATTTTCTTGATCCATTCCAGTGGTGGGGCATCTTGGCTGTTTCCATAACTTGGCTATTGTGAATAGTGCTGCAATAAACATGGGTGTGCAAGTGCCTCTGGAGTAACCTGTGTCACAGTCTTTTGGGTATATCCCCAAGAGTGGTATTGCTGGATCAAGTAGTAGATCAATGTTTAGCTTTTTAAGTAGCCTCCAAATTTTTTTCCAGAGTGGTTGTACTAGTTTACATTCCCACCAACAGTGTAAGAGGGTTCCTTTTCCACCAGCCCTTTTTTGTGATGGGTTTTTTTGGAGATAGGGTCTTGAGAACTATTTGCTGGGGCTGGCTGTGATTCTCCTGAGCTCTGCCTCCTGAGTAGCTAGGATTATGGGTGTGAGCTACAAGCACCCAGCCAACAGCATTTTGTTACTTCAAAGAGCACATTACCATAAATGGATTTGGGAGAATTAATTTTTAAACTTCAAAATTCTAATAAGTGACCATTCTTTGTTATTAGATATAGAAGTATTGCATGTAGTATAATTGCCCCTATCATACGCACAGATTATACCATATACATTGGCTTCCTCATTTTCTTCCACTGAGCCATTTTTCAGTCTGGTATTTCATGAGTTGAAACTTTAACATTAATCCAGAGAGAGAGCTGGTGGAATGGCTCAAGTGAGAGAGCACCTGCCTAGGAAGCCTAGCAACAAGTGTGAGGCCCTGATTTCAAGCCCCAGTACTGCCAAAAACAAAAGGTTGTTTTGCTGGGTACTGGTGGTTCACACCTGTAATTTTAGCTACTCAGCAAATAGTTCATGAGACCCTGTCTTGAAAAAACCATCAGACACACACACAAAAAGGGGCTGGTGGAGTGGCTCAATGTGTAGGCTGAATTCAAACCCCAGTACTCAAAACAAAACAAAACAAAACAAAAAACCAGAGAGGACAGGAAAGGTGCTCACAAAGGAAACTGACTTTTTATACCTATTGTCTTCTGTTATCTCTTGAAATTCTATTGAACTGGAAGAGAAGTATGTTTCCTCTTGTTAGAGAATGCTCTATTAGTGTGTGTTCTGTATTTTAGCTACTTGTAATAGAAGACAATGAGTGTTCTTATATAAATCAAGCAAACAGAAGAAATCATATAGCTGAGCTGGTGTACCTCACCTGAGTGTAGAAGTGGGTGTAGATCAGTGGTAGACTGCTTGCCTTGAATGTGCTAGCATGTGTGAGACCCTGGGTTTAATCCCTAGAAACACACACACACACACACACATTATACAGCTAACTTCCAACCTCTATGAATGAATCTTCCTAATCTCCCCATCAACTCTAAAAAGAAAATGGAAAGCAAAGCACAAAAGAACTCAAGGACTCTACTCCTGCTGCAGAATGAGGGAGGAGCAGGGTGGTCAGATTCCAGGTAGATTGGTATTAAAGTAGTCCTTTTTATTGATAGATTAGCAGTTCTTCTGGACCTGTGCTTTTCCGGTCCAGGCCACAGACTTAAATGCCCAGGATTCAACATGAGTGTTCCTAATCTTAGCAAAATATCAAGAAAAGGTAGAAAGGGCTGAACAAGACCTTCTGTCTGTTTGCCTATATCATGGTATAGATAGCATAGTTAAAAAACCACTTCATTGGTGTCTGATAGGCCTGGGATTGAATTTTTGCCATGCTACTTACTGTGTGTGCTTTATAAGATACTTAACCTCTCTAAACATATCTCATCTATAAGATGAAGACAGATCTACTTTAGGCGGTTGTGAAAATTAGGAAGAGAATGTATACGAAGCTGTTGGTGGAGTACTGACACAGAGGTTCTATCCGCGGTAACCTCTTACTAATAGTAAACGTGCATTGTCTTTCCCAGAAATACTTGCCTAGAAAGTTGGTTTATATTAGTGATATTAGTAGATTTAAATTTTTATTACTAGTTTTTTGAAGATACAGATGGTCTGTGTGTGATTTTTTTTCCTTTTATTTTATTGTTTTTACATTAAATTTTTATTATTGAGCTGATATTTGGTATCAAGGCCCTTCCACAGGTGATTTTTTTTCTTTCTTTTCTTTGTGGTACTAGAGATTGAACCAAGGGTCTTGGGCATACGAAGCATGTGCCTTACCACTTTGCTACTTCCTCAGCCCTACAGGTGATGAAATTTTTAACCAATGCCCTGGGAGGTCTGGAAAAATTAGCAAATTTTTTGGGGATGATAAACAAAACCATCACCTCCTACTTAGTGGAATAGTTACTCTGTAGGAGAAAGGTGAGCCAGTGAGCCTTGTATTAGTTATTGGAGGAATGTGTGTGTCAAGCTTTTGATCATAGCATCATTTCTGTTCATTACATGTACTTATTCAGGTGTAGAAAGACTAGTGATCTGAGAAGTAGGGTGCACATGATGAATGTATGATCTTTTAAATAAATCTTTTTTCCCTCTCTCCTCAGCTGCTCAGATAAAGAATTTGATGAGCCAACTAGGAACTAAGCAGGACTCAAGCAAGCTACAGGAAAATCTGTGAGTAGCTTCTAAACAAGGTTGGGTTTTGCAAGGGCCCTTTGAGGACATACTTAATGTCATCCTTGCTGTGTGGCCCTTAGGTTTCTGGTCTGTGAAGTCAGAAAGAGAGGTAGTGGGTCAGGAGGTAATAGCTGGATCTAGAAGAGGGGTAACAAAATATATTTATGGATCAAAATTTCTTTGTTTTTTTTTTGGTTTTGCAGGGGTTTGAACTCAGGGCTTCATCTTGCTAGGCTTGAGCCACTCTGCCAGCCCTGGACCAAGATTTCTTGAACTGTTTCTTTCTTCCCTTGGTCAGGTTAGCAGAACAATTAGGGAGGTAAGGAGGGAGCTGCTACCACTCCTAAACTATATCCTGCCCACAATTCTGAAAAATGAGCCTCTTTGTTGGCACAGGGCTCTTGATGATATAGTCTAGTTGGATTTCCAACTGTTATAATATTAGAAAAACAGAATGACCTGAGGGGAGTCTGAGGGAGAGAATAAAAGGACTTGTAGTAGAACTTCTGCTTCTTGTTTTTGTTTTTTTTTTTAATGACATTCTTCTTGTCTGTTTCTGCTTTTATAAGTTCTATTCTTTATCTTTAAAGAATATTCTTTGTTTACTGCCCTAGGCATTATGAAGTGAGAGAAAGACTGTTTTTACTATGAGCTTTTCCAGAAGATGTAAAATATCTCTGAATATTTTAGTACTGTTTGCAATGTTCAAGCTCCTGCTTGACTCTTTATTGTTTTTGTTTCCCTTGTATTTTAATCCTGGAGGTCTGTTTGCAGTGAAAAAAATACTAATAGTGGTATGGTATCTTATTACATTCAGGCTGCTATAAAAAAAGACCACAAAGTGGGCAGTTTATAAGCAACAGGAATTTATTTTTCATAGTTTAGAGGCTGAGAAGTCCAAAATCAAGGCACTGGCAGTTAAGTGTCTGATGAGGGCCCATTCTTTCCCAGACAATGCTTTCTTACTGTGTCCTCACTTAGCTGGAAGAGGCAAAGCAGTTCTCTGGAGCTTCTTTTATGAGGGCATTAATGCCATTCATGAGGGTTCCACCTTTGTGACCTAATCCCCTTCCAGTATCACCAGCTAATACCATCACTTTGGGAGCTAAGATTTCAACATAGGATTTTGGAGGGACACAACTGTTCAGACCATAGTACAAGTGGCACAAACTACGCACATGCTCTACTACTGAGCTGTACTTTGGCTCCTTTCTTACATATTTTTAAACAGCATAGGACTTACTTATTTTGGAGAAAAAAGCCAGAAAGCCAGGCATAATGGTGCCTTTCTCTGTACTCCTTTAAAACCTTTTCAGAGATGACTAGAGAGTAAAGGAAACCATGAATGAAAGCAACTCCTTTTGCATTTCCATTACTTTCTAGTCTCACTTAATACATGACATATTCTTCCCTCTTTAATTCCCTTTTCTTCCTACTCCTTATGTTTTTGTTTATTTGTTTGTTTGTAATGAGGTCTCACTGTGTTGCCCAGGCTGACTTTGAACTCCTGGGCTCAAGCAGTCCTCCTGAGTAGCTGGAATTACAGGTCTGTGACACCATGCCCACCACCTAGTTTTCATACATATATGTGTGTGTGTGTGTGTGTATATATATATATATATTTTTTTTTTTTTTTTTTTTTTTTTGGTGGTACTGGAGTTTGAACTCAGGGTCTTGCACTTACTAGGCAGGTGCTCTACCATTTGAGCACACCTCCAGCCCTTTTTTTGCTTTATTTTTTGGATTTGGTCTTATGCTTTTGGTTGGGGCCAGCCTCAGACAGCAATCCTCCTACCCTTGCACTTCCCAAGTAGCTAGGATTACAGGTATGTACCACCATGTCTGGCTTGTTGGTTGAGATAGGATCTTACTGACTTTGCCTGGGGGGACCTTGAACAGTGATCCTCCCAATCTGCTGTTTCGTTTTTTTTAGCACTCTTGACACTTGAGCCACTCTGCCAGCCCTCTGCTTTGTTATTTTTGTGGTGCTGGGGATTTAACGCACAGCTTTGCACAAACTAGGAAAATGCTTTGACACTGAGCTGAACTTTGGCCCCTCTCTTACATATTTTTAAACAACATAGGACTTCTTTATTTTGGAGAAAAAAGCCAGAAAGCCAGGCATAAAGAGCAGGTAGGGAGTCAAGGAGAAATCTGAAAAAGAATCAGCCTTTAAGGAAGAATGTAGAATAGATCTTTTGATTTTTTTTTTTTTTTTTTTTGTGGTACTGGGGCTTGAACTCAAGGCCTATATCTCAAGCCACTCCACCAGCCCGTTGATGGGCTTTTTCGAGATAGGATCACATGAACTATTTGCCTGGCTGGGCTGGCTTCAAACCGTGATCCTCCTGATCTCTGCCTCCTGAGTAGCTAGGATTACAGACGTGAGCCACCAGTGCCCAGCTCAAATTTGTTTTTCAGGGTAGATAGGAAACTATGCTTTTAGTGCATATTTCACACAACCACCTATGGCAGGATTCTAGTCAGTGGACTGTAACAGATTCTCACCATGCAGAACTCCTGGGAATTTCAATGAGAATTTTGGAGAGAGTTCAGTGTATTAAAACCATTAGATTTATCACTTCTTGGCCTTTTCGCTGAGATCAAGTGTAGTTTCTGTTCTTATCAGTTTAATATCGGATACGTCCTCAATCCGAGGACAATATATTAAATGGATTTTTGGAACAGGAGATAGAATAGGAGCTTGCTCCATCCACTCCACACACCTGGTGTGTGGTATTGCAGTACCTCCAGGAGTGGTGCACACACAAAACCCATTAGATTTATGTGTGAGTAGCAATTGCTCTTCTAGTTCTATCAGAACTGCTGATAGGCTTTTCTTTTCTCCCCATAGAATTAAAAATCCTGATCTGTGATTCCTTCAGCAGTTGTCATTGAGGAAGGTTCTTTCTGTTCAGTGTGACTGCTTCAGTAATGTGACAATACCATGAAATGGGTTTCCCTGGTTATATTTCTGAAACTTTCTTGTGATTGTGGGCATTGAGGCTCTATTTCTTCAAATGGTCTTTCATTTCCTGCATTGTGAGACACCCTGAGAATAAAGTGAAAAATCATGGGCTAGGGGTGTGGCTCAAGTGATGAGTACCTTCCTAGCAAGTACCAGGCCCTGAGTTCAAACCCTACTACCACACACACACACACACACACACACACACACACACACACACACACACACAAGTAATATTCACTAATATTCTCAAGAAGTTACAGCATCCTGAAACAAATCTTTTCTGTCTTAGGCAACAATTACAGCACTCCACAAATCAGCTCGCAAAGGAAACAAATGAATTGCTGAAGGAATTAGGGTCCTTGCCCCTTCCTTTATCTACTTCAGAACAGGTTGGTATTTTTTCTTAATAGATTGGTATTTGTTTATTAATAGGAAATGACTTTAATAGAGAGGTAGTATGTGGAACAAAAGTAATTTGGCCTTTGGTGCTAGATAGACCTTCTCCAGACTTCACTTTCCTTCTCTATAAAGTGGAGGGGATGTGAATATTGTGGCAGCAGAGATTGTATACATCAGATGCAGCAAAGTGCCTGACATTCAGAGTGTACTGAACGTATGGTGCCACTGCTACTATTAATATCCTAATAAAATGGATTTAGTTAAAGGGGAATCTCAATGCTTACATATCTTTGGGGTTTGCGTAGCAGCTATATGTTTGCAGGCTTGGTCCTAGTTTGTTTTGTAGATAGTACCTATAAATTTCAGTCAAACAGCTTTCTTTCATATTTCCATCAAGAATTATTCATAGGCCACAGGTTAAGGAAGTGCTCAGGGAAGATTTCTCTTTTCAAGTCATTTTACTCAGTGGCCATTTTAATCCTTGAAATGCACACAATTTTTACTTGGATTCATTGTTCCCTTAGTATGCTCTTTTTTTTCTTTCATTCCTAAAATCAGATATGTTACCTCTTTTATCATGGCTTGACTCTTACCTATTATTCATGGTTGGTTCCATCAGAGAAAAAAGCCTCCTCCATCTACTTCAGCCTGTTGAGATTCTGTTTTGCTTTTAGCTTCTATGCCATTCATAGGAGCACTTAACATAAATTAAGTACTTATATTACTTTTTATTACTAAACTTCTAAAGTGATATCCTATCTCCTATGGCTCTGATGACAAAGCCTTCAACTTCTCTTTCTTGGGTTGTTTTTCACACTGTGGGTTGTGGCTGTTGGAACATGAAATCATTTTAGTGTGTTGTGATCAGCATTTTCGAAAAGTGAAACACAATAGGTAAATGATTACATGAAACTTTTCGTTCATACCTACGTGTATACACAGTACCAGGTCATGATGTCAAATTCTTACCATAGGTCTCCACAAAAGTTTGAAAACACCACTTTAACCTGAAAAGCTATTTAATACAGGATATGTTCAGTCAAATTCGGGCACCTTTTGCACAAAAGAGGAGCCACACTAAAGGCTTTGTCTTCCCACTATGAAGAAGTTCGGATAAAAAGTAATCTTAATGTAATTATTTTATGGTTATCCACATATGGGCTGTTTTAGTTCTCATGCTGATTTGTCAATTGTGGGTCAGTTCCCCTTACCATCCAGTATCTCCAGTTTGCTACCAGATCATCCTGTTCCTCTTCCTGCTATGTACTTAGGGACATTTATAGATTGTTTTCATAGTAATAAAAACAGAGTCTAAGGGTCTGATGCAGACAGAATATTATAAGTACTAAGAGTTAAATAGTAGCCTAAGCAAAAAAGAAATAGAAAGTTAAATTTGCTACTAAAAAAATTCATCTAATGTATTCCAAAACCAAACAGAAGTTATTTTTGGATTATGCATGCTGTTCCTTTCCATTAGCTTGAATCATTAAGAATATGAAATAGATCTATGAACATTCTCTGGTGAAATATAATTCCAAGTCTCTTTCTCCTGTTGTGCTGAGTTCCCTTTTGTCTTTTTACTTGTTCTTCATGTCTTAGTCCCAACACCCATTTTTTTCACAGCTGTCATATACATCAAAAATACTTTCAGTTTTTTCCATTCCTGTGTACTATTATCGGTGATCTTATAGTTGCCAGATTGAGTGGTCTTTTTTGAGCTTTTATTCATTCATCTTTGTTCTGTCTTCTTTGATCTTTTTGCTCATCCTGTCTCCCTCTGAAATTTTATTTTTTCCATGACTTGGTTTTGTTCTTTTACCCACCTCTGATGATCCCAGGTTGACTTTCAGCTTTCCTTCCTCACTCTGTATCTTCCTAGGTATCAGCATGCTCCAAGGCTCTGCTAGTGATCTTTTAGTTTTCTCACTCCACACTTTCTCCCTCAGGAGTCTTATCTGATTTTATGACCTCCCTGTCACCTTTGTGATCGTGAACCCCAGATTTTTTTCTAACTCTAGTTCCCAGGCTTCTTAAGTACTTGGCTGTTTTATTGATTCCTGTTCTAACATCTCCTTTTTTTTTTGCAGTGCTAGGAATAGAACCCAGGCCACTGCACATGCTAGGCAAACATTCTACCACTGAGCTATATTCCAGCCCTTGATAAATCCTCTTCAATGTACTTAACTACCTTTACATCAAATTTAATGTGTTGTCTTATACTGAATTCCTCATTCAACCCCCCCCACCCCCGAAATAGGTTGATTGGTGTTACTTATCTTCATAAAAAAGTTTGTGCCTTTTGACCTAATATTCCCACCAATGCAAATTTGTTCTGGGGGGGTGGGGAATATGAAGGGAGGAAAATGCATATTTACCTTGGAGCCAAATATAAATATATTAGCTGTTAGTATGGAGTTCACTTTACCTTTATTTATAATAGTTAAAAACTGGGACCAATAGAAAGAATGCTTTTTTTGGTTTTGTTCTTTGATTTTTTTTTTTTTTTGGCAGTACTGGGGTTTGAACTCAGGGCCTCATACCTGCTATGCAGGCATTCTTACCACTTGAGCCACTCCACCAGCCCAACAAGAAGGAATGTTTACATAAAATTTACACTGTCAACTTGATAGAATATACATAACAATTAAAATAAAAATTATAGGACTGGAGATGTGGCTCAAGTAGTAGAGTACCTGCCTAGCAAGTGTGAAGTTCTGAGTTCAAACTCCAGAACCATCCAAAAAAACCCAAAAAACAAAACCATAAAACCCCTAAAAACACATAATTGTAAAGAGAACAATAACATAAAAAAATATAAAACATAAGAAAAAAAGAGTATAATGACATGGAAAATGTTTATGATATACCTTAAAAAAATAGCATTTTGGGGTTTGGGGTAGCTCAGTAGTAGAATGCTTGCCAAGCATGTGTAAGAAGGCTCTGGGTTTGATCCCCATCAACACACACACACACACACACACACACACACACACACACACTCACACTCACACTCACACGAGATATTTTTGGATGGCAAGGTTAAGGAATGATGTTTTCCCTCTCTTATTGTTATAATGTTGCTTATGCAAAAATAAAGATCCAGAAAAAGAAAAAAAAATCCTCACCTAAATTTCCTTCAATATTATTCTCCCAGGTTTGAAATCTGAGTCATTCTTGATTTTACACCTCTTCATCCACCTCCAGCCACTAAGTCGTAATGTTTCTTAAATTCGTTTCTTTGTGATCCAATTACTAATACTGTGTCCTCCTACTCTTAAACCTAGACTATTGCCCTAATTTTTTTGATCTGTTTCTTCTTCCCATTCCACCTGGTATGGCATCACAGACTAATTTTTCTAACTTACCAGGTTGTACCTCTCATGTTGCCTGCTCAAAATCTTGACTCTTTGTTCTTTAGAAGTTGGACCCAAATGCATTAGCGAGGCATTGCAAACCCTTTCCTTGCATTTCCAATTTAATCTTTTAGCTTCTCTCAAGAATACACCTTTAGTTTCAGTCAGACTATCTCCTTCTAGGTCTTCAGTTTTTCTGCTCAGGTATTCTCGTGCTTGGATTTGTCCTACCCCTTCTTTCTGCTTATTCATGCCCTACTCTTCTTTCAGGGTCCACCTTCTCTTGAGGCCTTTCTTGCCCACTTTAGTACTCACTGATTAGATCTGCCTCTGCACTCCTATAGAACTAATTGGATACAGCAATTATTTATGACTTTGGTATTAGTCTGCCTAAGTTGGAGTGAGTTTTTACTTCTGTGTGCTTAGCACAGTGCAAATCTGTTTAGGTCCAGTTTGAGTTCAAAGATATTTATTCTGCTTTTAGATTCTCCAGGGATGAAATACTCCAAATTGCATTCCTTCTTTGATTATAAGGTAAATGATGCCCAGTTCTCAGGTTTGTCAGGTGCTTCTAACTTGTTCTGTAGTATTAACCAGGGATTTGAGTTGGCAAGGAGCAAATTTATTAATTAAAGGAAGAACCTATTTTCTAATAATTTTTCTACTTTGAAATCTCTAAGGGGTATAATTGCTTTCAATGAGAATTAAGACCAACTGATTCTAGATTAATATGAAATCTCAAGTTCTTGCTTAATTTCCTTAGCGCCAGCAGAAGCTTCAGAAGGAACGGCTCATGAGTGACTTCTCTGCAGCCTTAAACAATTTCCAGGCTGTGCAGAGAAAGGTATCTGAAAAGGAAAAAGAGAGCATTGCCAGAGCAAGAGCTGGATCTCGTCTTTCTGTAAGTTGATTCCCAAAAGAAGATCTTTGCAATTTCAGGATGTTCTTTTTCAAGGTTTTTTCTTTCTGACCATTCACCTTTGTTTACCATCATACTAAATCAGAAACATACATGTCAGCTGTTGTGACATTTCCAGATTGGTATAGCCTGTGTATGGTAATACATATGCATGTGGTCAAAGATTGGAAAGGAATGTGCATAATGGTTAAAAAAATGGAAGGTAGAATTCTGTGTAATTTTCATTTTGTTGTATGGTCTTATGTTAAAAACTTAAGAAAAGAGAAATGAACCTATTTCCTAGAAGATAGGAGGCTAGGTTATTTGGATTAGCTCTCTCTTTTTGGAAAGAATTATCAAATACTGGAACTTAAAAACCCAACTTCTCTAAGGTAGCAAAGAACCATGAAAACACTAAGGTCAAAATCTAAGGTAAGCAGAATACCAAAAGTACTTTTGAACTGAATATATTTACAGAGGGCAAACTTGAGCTTCAGTGTTGATGTCCTTATGGCATGGAAAGGGTAAAAGTCAAAGCCAAAGGCTCATGCAAAGTGGAGAATACAAAAGAATATGCTCCTCAATCAAACTGGACCCAAAAAAATTATATCCTTAGGGAATGGCTAAGCCAAAAGAGAGCCCTCCTTTATCCCAGTGGACTGCAAAGAAGTTACAGTACCCTAGAACTAAGCAAGTGGTCGAGAAGGGAAGGAAGGAGGGAACATCCACATAATAAGTTCTGCCACAAATTAAGCTTTAGGCAGACTTACTATCCAGATTCATACTACCTGGATGGTCTAAAGCCTGAAGTTTCAAGTGGTCTTGGACCCACAGAGCACTTCTATGTCATTCAGAAGCAAACACAAATGCACTCTGTGGAAAGACATCTTTATCCTGGCCCAGAAAGAATGCCCTCAAGTTTTTCAAGGGCAATGAGTAACATATGATTAAAACAACAACAACAACAACAAAAAAAATAAGCATACAAAGAAACAAATTATCCTAAACAAGAACTAGTAGAAATAACATCGAAGTGAAATATACCTATAGATTTGTATATTGTATATTAGTATAAGCCAGTAGAGTGTTCTCTTGAATTTTTCTTTTTGGCAGTATGGGGTTTTTGAACTCAGGGTTTCACACTTGCTAGGCAGGCGCTCCACAACTTGAGCCATGCCCTAGCCCTGTTTTCTTAAATTTTAATGAAAGGCAGTATCTGACTACCAAGGATTCTAAATTTAGTGAAAATATATGTCCAAAATAAGGATTAATTAAAGATATTTTCAGTAAAACAGGGTTTCCTATCAACATCCTGCATACTAACAGAAATTCTAAAAGATATACTTTAGCCAGAAGGAAAATGACACCTGATGAGAGTCTGAAAAGAAGACAAGAATGAAGAGAAAAATCAAGAAGCAAATATGTGAAAAGATAAGCCACAAACAGGAAAACGATATTGCTATCTTTGTAACTGACAAAGAACTACTATTTAGAATAAACGCTGTAAAGAATTTCCAAAAATCAGTGTAGAAAAAAATTTAACCCAATAGAGCAGTAGTTCTCAACAAGCTTGATCTCAGAACCCCATTATACTGTTAAGAATTATTAAGGACCCCCAAAGAGGTTATATGAATATCTTTCTTCTTTTTTCGAGGCAGGTTCTTGTTGTGCAACTTTTTTTTTGCAGTACTGAGGCTTTAACTCAGGGCCTTTACCTTGAGCCACTCCACCAGCCCCATTTTTGTGAAGGGTTTTTTGAGATAGGAACGCAGCAAAAAATGTAACTTTTAAGAAAATAGAATTTTGCAAAACTTTTATCTATGATTGTGAGAATTTTTTCAACATTTTAGGCCAGACATATATACTCCCAGGACTCAGGAAGCCAATGTAGGAGGATTGTGAGTTTGAGGCCAGCCTGGGCTATGTAGCAAGACCCTGTCTCAACAAAACAAAACCTAAAAGGGCTGAGGACATGACTAAAGCAGTAGAACACAAGTTCAAACTGCCTCCCCCCAAAGAAAAAGATTTTTCTGATGAAACTGATGGTAACATGGAAAAAAAAGTCAGTTGTTGAAGTTGAGGACATAAAAATTAATTAAACCTCAACCCCTTAGTACACATCTTTTTAATACTCTGCATGGTGAAGTGAGAAGTATGCATTAAGTACTTTTATCATGTTCAGAAATACAGTATTTATCTCCAGGAAAAGCATTTGTGTAATTGAGTTGCAAGCTGAACTAGCCACATTTTTAGAGAGAATACCATTTTTATTTATTCAATATGGTTTTATAAAAACTTATATAAAAGTTTAGCTAGGCATGGTACATGGTGACGAAAATGATAATACTTCTAGTATAGTCTGGTGCTGCTGCCTTGAGCCATTTTATCCACCATTGCTTTGGCTACTGAGTTCAAATGTCAACACAGAAAAAAGGCAAATAAACATATTGGTATTATTTTGAATAATGGGTCACAGACTTTCAGATTAAAATAACAGTGAGATACTATTTCATGTCCATGTCCACTAGGAGGGTAAAAGTTTTGAATCTTTTTTTTTTCCTGGTGATTCTGATGTTTTAACTTGTCAGAGCCTTGAACTTGTTAGGCAGGTGATCTACCACTTGGGCCACATCCCCAGCTCTAAGAAACTTAAATTCTGTGAACACCAAGGGTGGGGCTTTGTGAACATGTTGCAGTAGGAACTTTTCTATCTGGCCTGTAGTAGTATAAATTGGAGCAACCACTTTGGGAAACATTTTAGTTGTGTCTTCAAAATACACACTTTATGATCCAGCATTTTTATCATAGAGAAACCAGTATGTATGTATTCCAGATATACACACAAGGATGTTCATACAGCATTATTTGTAGTAGTCAAAAATTGGAGCCATGCATGGTATTACACTTCTGTAAACCCAATATTCTAGAGGCTGAGTTCATTCCTTGAACTAAAGATCTCTAGTTCAAGGCTGGCCTGGGATACATAGCAAGACCCTGTGTCCAAAAATAAAGAAAAGAAAAGAAAAAAGGCAAAATCTATATATCCTGTAACAGTAGAATGAACATTTTTTGTTTGTTGTTTTTTGCTTGCTTTTTGTTTTTGAGACAGGGTCTCACTATGTAGCCCAAACTGGCCTTGGATTCCCAAATGCTGGGATTATAGGTTTGCATCACTATTCCCAGCTTCAACAGTAGAATGGATAAATATGTGATATATTCATATACATAATATCATACAGCAAATAAAATTAACCACAGTTATCTTTCAGCATCAGGGATGGATCTGGCATAATCTGGAGTGATTCAAACGAAGCATGAAAGAATATAAATAGTATAATTCCATTTATGTAAAGTTCAAAAATAGGCAAAACAATATAGAATAAAGATGCATATTAGTATTTTTAAAATGCAAGAAAATAATTTTTGCAAAGTCAAGATAATGGAAATATTAATGGGTAACATGTCCATCAGCGAAGGACACAGGGGAAGCTTTTAGGACACTGGTATTGTTCTGTCTCTTGGTCTTGGGGAAAAAGCAAAAGCAAAGCCAGGAGAAGTGGATGCATCTGTAGTCAGGAGGCTGAGATGGGAGAATTTGAGGCCAGCCTGAACAACACAGTGAAACCCACCAACTCAAAAAAAAAAGTAAAACAATAACAAAAATGTTCAGTGTTCCTCTGGGTGGGTAGAATTCTGACATTTTAATTTTGTTTGTCCTGTATTGCTATCATAAAAAGGGTAAACCTTTTAAAAATGAAAATAGATTGGCCTTTAACAATTTTTATTTTGATTTGTTTTTAAGTTATAAAAGTCAGACATGCGTTAGACTGATTTTTGAAGTTTGCTTGCCACATTAGAACCCAACATGCTATGAATCCATTTTTTAAAATCTTTATTAGAAAAATTTTTTTTCAAGTTTTCAGCCCTTTCCCTTTAATCTACCTTCCTCAAATTTTAAAGTAGGTTATAGTTATCTTTATTTTATTAATCGCTTTTCTACCCTTGTTCTTCTTTCTTGTTTAAAGTTTCTTTTTTCTTTCTTTTTGTTTTTGGCATCACTGGGGTTTGAACTCAGGGTTTCATGCTTGCCAGTGCTTGAGTCACTCAGCCAGCCCTTTTGTTTGAAGGGTTTTTTTGAGATAGGGTCTCTCGAACTATTTATCTGGGCTGGCTTTGAACCTCGATCCTCCTGATCTCTGCCTCCTGAATAGCTAGGATTACAGGTGTGAGCCACTGGCACTCGGCTTCTTCTTCTTTTTTTTTTTTTTTTAGCGTATTATAGTTGTACAGGTAGTACACTGTGACATTTACAGAATTGCTTACAATATATCTGAGTTAGATTTGCCCCCTGCATCTTTCTCCTTTCTTCCCCTCCTCCCTTCTTAGAACAGTTTCAACAGGTCTCATTGTTCCATTTTCATAGTATGTCCATATTTGCCCTTCTTCACCCTTTCCTTCTGCCCCCCCCCCCACTGGTACCAACCTCTGGACAGGACTTGTTTTACCTTCCTGTCCATACGTATGGGGAGATATATATATATATATATCCATCCCAATTTGGTTCATTCTCTCCCATTGTTCTCCTTTTTACTTTAGTCTCCTTATGGTGATTTCAACAGGTTTGAATGTTCCATATTCATATCTGTATAGAAAGTACATCAACCATATTCACCTTCTTTACTTTCTTCATTTATCCCTCTCCCATTAGTGCCAGTATGGTTTTTATCCTGAGCCCAAATTGGAATGCAAATTTGCTTTCAACCACTTCACACCCATTTCTTAGTTAAGACAGAGTGCAAGAGTCCTGATCTTACAGATTCTGTTAGAGTTGAAGGATGCTTCTTTATATTGTAGCTAAGGAAACCCTTGTTTTGTGTGTCTGTCTGTGACATGTTTCTGGATTACACCAGCAATAATGCCATCTGCTTTTTAGGTGGAAGACAGGCAAAGAGAGGAGCAGCTTGTCTCATTTGACAGGTAAAGAATTATTCATCCAACCTGCTTAATAGTTGATGAGAGTTGTTTTATATTTATTTTTAATTTTAAAAATCAATGAGGATGTATGTGCAAGGCATTTGGTTCAATCCCCAGTACTGGGGAGAAAAAATCAATGAGACAAAAAGCAGGAGAAAATAAAGAGGGACCTGGGGGTAGGTGATTTAGCATTCTTTAAATAAAAATAAAAAGTCAAAAGCATGGGCTTTCCTAAGGTCGTTGAATATTTTCTGTGTGTGGGAGGAAGCTTGACTCACCAGGAATAAGAAGGAACCCACAAATCTACAGACTAGAAGATCTCAGTCATTTTACCTCTAATTCAAATTTAAGTTCTTCAACATTCTTGGGTCTCTGTTTACTTACCTCTAAAGTAGGGTCAACTCATCCAGCTCATCCTACTGGGAATATAAGAGGAAAAGCAGGTAATTTGTATCTGAAAGATATCCCTTAACTTCTCCAAGTGAATTCCATAGTACTCCATGTATTCAAGGTATTAGTTTGGAATTTCAAATGATTTATCATAGATACATAGTCATCTCCCCCACCCCAGCCTAAACTGTGAGCACCTCAAAGGTCTTATTCAGTTTTGTTTGTTATTCAATATTAGTACTTTTTTTTTTGTGGTACTGGGTTGGAACTCAGGGCCTTGTGTTTGCTAGGCAGGCACTGTAACATTTGAGCCACACATCCCAGCCCAGGACATTTTTTAAATGTTATGGAAATGAGGTATGATTTATACTTATTGTTGAAAAAATTCACAATACTGGGTTTTCAAAATGTTCTGTGTCTAGTATAATAAGTTATACACCTTCTAAATACTTGAAAAGTTGTAACATTTCACTAGTATTTACTTTGGTTTCTGTGAAGAGATATATTACACAAAGCATAATCTGAAGGAAATTCCTGGAAACCAGATGTGATTCTTTTCACTGAACTGGTAAAGCACTGGTAGGTTACTTAGCCTGCTCTCCTCCACCGATTTAGTACTCAAAGGTACCAATACAGCTTTGCACTTAGAGTTCCCTGGAAAAGGCCAAGTAGTGTGATTCATTGAGTTCAAATCTCTGGATGCTTTTCTTGTCTAGCAAGTCTTAGCGTGATTGCAGAGTGTACTCCTAAAAGCAAGGAGGCCCATCCTCCATAATTCTGCCTCATCTCAGTTTTGTCCATGGAGGCAAGACTTTGATTTCTTGGTATTGTCAGCTCTTTGCTTCTAGATATGAAACATGTGGCCCTCAGGCAGAGGAATTGGAGCCCTACTAGTGTTTTTGCCTAGGTTCTGCTCATAGCAGAGATATTGTAGATATGTCTTCTCACACTGCAGAAAGGAGGAATCAACTGCTGTGCTTGTCTCCCTGCAGCCATGAGGACTGGAACCAGATGCAGAGCCAGGAGGACGAGGCAGCCATCACTGAACAGGATCTGGAACTTATTAAAGAGAGGGAAACAGCGATTCGACAGCTGGAGGTGAGAGCTAGGTCATGTCTTTTGTTGACTCAGTGTTTGTGAAGGTATCTGGGCTCTCTAGCTTGAATTTTCCCTGGATTATTATGAAAAACCATGATCTAAGTCATTGTGTTGTTTGCGTATTATCCATCTTGATTTAGTCATTATAAATTTGAGTGGTATTGGCCTGGTCTCCCAAGAATACCCAAAGCCTTTCCTCACATACCACTTTTTTATATGGCCTCCTTAAGAAAAATACATGGAAAATAGAAGCCAGGCACCAGTGGCTCATGCCTGTAATCCTTGCTACTCAGGAGGCCGAGACCAGGAGGATCATGGTTTGAAGCTAGCCAGGGCAAATAGTTCTTGAGACCTTATCTCGAAAAAAACCATCACAAAAAAGGGCTGGTAGAGTGGCTCAAAGTGTAGGCCCTGAGATCAAACCCCAGTATCACCAGAAAAAAAACAAAACAGAGCAAGGCAAGCAAATATTTTATTGCTTTGTCCTTAAATGCCAATATCTAGGTTAGGCAGGGCTTTGGGGAGCAGCCCTTTGCTTAGTCTGAGTAACCTGTTATAAAGACAGGCCAAAAGTCTTGCTGTGTTTTTGTGCATTCTAAAGTGCAAATCCAATTTGCAGATCTTATCACTTCAGAGAGTCACAACTAGAAATGTTTTTTGAGGTGGGAGTGGAAGGGGAGGTCTGTTAACCTTTATTATCCTAACTGAGCACCATTTTTAACTTTGCACAGTGATCAGTAAAATATCTTTAAAACCTGCATAGTTTCTCCATGGAGGTAGAAGACTTCCATCCCTGGGGCAGGAGTAGGAAATGAGGGGAGTAGAGAAACTTCAAGCTCCTCCTTTTGCCTTTGCAGTGGTTCTGAATGCTGACTGCACAGTAGGATCACCTGGAGATTTTTTTCTTTTTTTAATACTCCAGTTCTCCATACACACACAAATTATTTGATTGGACTATGTGAAATTCCTGGTTTTTGTAGGTTCAAAATTGGCAAATATCCACAGTTTTATGTGGGTCAACCTAATAAGTCATAACTTCTGGGGGTGAGGCCTTAGGCATGGCTATTTTAAAGCTGCCCCAGTGAATAATAAGGTGCAGTCAGGATTGAGACCACTGCCCTAGGGATCATCACTGTCTGTTTTTAGATGAGACAGTTTGTCCTCAAGTTATACCTATTTTACTGCCTTCAAAGATGTCAGACGTTTCCTTTTCGCTTTTTCACCTACCACTACTAATCATTGACTTGGTTCTCTAACATTAGAAATGCTGTTTTATAGCAGGGAGTGAGACATACGCAGCTAAAGGAAGAAATGTAACCTAATAGATGTCAGGAACCTAATGGATCACTTCACATTCAACAGAATGAAGTCCAAATTCCTTAGCTTAAGCTAGACTGTCATATCCAGTCATTTCCTACCTCTAACATACAAACCTATGTTACAGCCAAACTGGGCTATTTGTTATTTAACTCAATTGCCTTACTGTTTATATGACTTTTCCTTTGCATTAAGGCACAACTCACATTCTACTTCTTCTGCGGTCTTCTTCTTCTGCACATCTTTATATACCATTCAATAGTCAATTCCTATATAACACCCTTTCTTATTTATCTTACTGTGTACTTGTTCCCCACCACCCCACTCCAGTTAGGTGTATGTATCCACAGCAATGAACAATAATCCCAACTTTAGTGGATCCTTAGTAAGTGATTGAGATGCTGGCAAGAATTAATCTTGCCAAGTTGTGATTCTGGTCAGTCTCCTAACCTGGGAGTACTTTTTTTTTTTTTTGTGGTATTGGGACTTGAACTCAGGCCCTACACCTTGCATTACTCCACCAGCCCTTTTTTGTGATGAGTTTTTTTAAGTAGGGTCTCACGAACTCTTTGCCTGAGCTGGCTTGGAACTGCAATCCTCCTGATCTCTGCCTCCTGAATAGCTAGGATTACAGGCAACTGGCCTGTAAGTTCTTCTGATGGACAAGTGTTTTACTTAAATGTACTTTTCATGTTTCAGTAGGGCCACATCAATGAGAGCATACCTTTCCATTGCCCTTCTGCCTGACCATGTGGCAGTAAGAACCCAAATATAGGGGATTTTACTTCCATCATTGCCAGGAAAACAGCATGCAGTTCAGTCTACCAAGGTGATTAGTTTTTACCTTCTTTAGTCTGATTAATAGGCTTGCAAATAGTCGTCCTTTCACCCTGGAACTGCCATACACAGACAAAGTAACTCTTTGTCAGTCAGTTGAAAACTGTTTAGAGGGCACTGTTCAAGTGACAGTAGAATCCAGCAGCTCTTCACACAGTTCCAGAGTCAGTCCTGGGGGAGAAGACGCTTTCTGTTTGTATGTTCTTCTTGTATTCCCCTAGATACTACAATCTTGTGTAAATTGTCTAAATTCTGTAGTTCAAAGTCCTAGCAGCCTGTTGCCTTCACAGGCTTTTGTCATAATGGCCAGTGTAGGCTCCAGGTATAACTATCACACCAAGAATTTGTCTATCCTAATACTCCAGCTTCTGTTGATACCATTTGAGTTTGAATGGTCTTAGTTCCTACAGAACATGTCCAGTTATTACTGCTTGATGGGTGGGTTTCATGCCTTCTGCTTTGCAGTATCAGGTAGGTAATGACATATCATTTTCTGTTTTGGAGAAGCAGGTTTTAAAAACATATATATGTGATTAATAGCTGAAACTTTAGATAGGTAGAGGAAAGGAAACTTCTAACATGTTGCTTAATGTCAGTTAATTGGTTTTTGTCCTTTTTAGGCTGATATTTTGGATGTAAATCAGATATTTAAAGATTTGGCCATGATGATCCATGACCAAGGTGACCTGATTGGTATGTATTATTGATACCTTTAACCTTGAGGTGAACTGGTAATATTTGTATGTAGAGAAGTCAGTAAGATATTATTAATTATAGGCTGCAAGTTTAGGAATATAATTTTAAAAATTAGTAAAAACCAGGGCCTGTAATCTCAGCTACTTGGGAAATGGAGGTAGGAGGATCTTGGTCCAAGGCTGGCCGTAGGCAAAAACATGAGTCCTTATCTGAAAAATAAGTAAAGCAAAAAGGGCTGGGGGTGTGGTCCAAGTGGTAGAGCACTTGCTTAGCAAGCATAAGGCCCTGAGTTCAAACCCCATTACTGTCCCCCCCAAAAATTTATATAACTCATTTTCTTAATGTTTTTCTTATATTATCAAATGCATTTACTTGTGATAGCCTCTTGATAAGTGCTTGTTTAGAGAAAAGCTGTCAACTTCCCAGCTTTTAGCTCCAGAAATTTGGATGCTTATGGAGTTAGTAACTTTTTAAAAGCTTTTTATGTGGAAATTAGGTTAAGTTTATAAGAAGTTGGAAAAATAAATATACTAGGGCTGGAGGGCGTGGCAGAAGAGGTAGAGCACCTGCTTGGCAAGTGCAAACCCTGTTACTTAGGGGAGAAAAAGAAAAAGCCTACAAGCAACTCCTTTATACTTACCCAGAGTCTACCTCTTATTAACATTCTGCCCTATTTGCTTTGTGATGTGCCCTCACTCTATGTGTATATACATATATGTAGGCATATATTTTTTTCTGAACCATTTATAGGTGAATTCCAAACTTAATAACCTCTTCCTCCTAAATACTTCAATGTTTATTCCCAAAGAATAGGGCTGTTCTCTTATCAAGGTAATAACTTTTGATTTCATGACTAGAGAGTTGGGATGGTGATAGTGAAACCAGGATCCATAACACCAGAAATCTGTTCATTTTACAGTCTTGAAACACCTGAGTATGTTAAAACATCCATTGTTCTTTTTTGCAGATAGCATAGAAGCCAATGTGGAAAGCTCAGAGGTGCATGTTGAAAGAGCCACTGATCAGTTACAGCAAGCTGCTTACTATCAGGTAAAAGCTGGTACCAAAGAAAGTCACTCTGTGCTGTAGACTTTATGGGCCACCAGGATACAATGACATATTGAGAACAGCTACAGCCTCTTGCTTGGGCTTCAGCTGGAAATAGGTAGTCATAATCTCCAGTCCCAGTTCCATTTTTTAGTATTTTCCTTTTAGTGTTTCATTTTTTAGTATTTTCTGTATTTTCATTTTTAGCGAGATATACAAAACCCATCAAATTTTCAATAACCTTACACAGAAGACTCTTGGCTGCAAAGCTAAGCCTATGAACTAGCATGCTACCTAAATCTACTATAAGGTTAATCTTATATCCTAAGCAGCAGAAATGTGTTTCCATTAGGATAGTAAGAGGTAGAGGCAAAATAGGGCTTCATAGTGTCTGGCAGAGTGGCTCAAGCAGTAAGAGCACCTGCCTAGCAAGTGTGAGGCCCTGAATTCAAATTCCAGTGCCGCCACAAAAAAAAAAAAAAGGACTTCATAGATATTCTATGTTGACTATTGCCACAAAGGATGGATATAGAATCAACAATGACAGCCATTTATATCTATTTATATAAATAGTCATTATAGAACTGTGTCTGTAAAGTGAAATTCTTCTACATATTAGTTAAAACTCTTGTTTTATGACTTCTCTGGATCTTCATCTCAGTGTACAGATATCGTGAGTGAAGTCCTCATTTCCCCTTGATTTGGTGTTACATGGCTTTTTAGACATGAACAGCATTTCAGGGCTGGGGATGTAGTTCATAGGTTTACTGTTTGCCTAGCATGCCTGAGGCCCTGGGTTCGATCCGAGTACCACACACACATACACACAAAAAAACAAACAGCATGTCAGTCATTTTCCATGTTCCTAAGTATATCAGCCATATGATAGCTATATTTTACCTGGGAGTGCTCTTAGGGAAATTTGTGTTTAATAATAGAATTTCCTTTAAAAACTGTGTGGTAACTTTAGTATCTGACAGTAAAAGAATAATTAAACTACACATATCCATTTAATGTTGTACTGTGTGAGAATTAAGAGATGTTTATGAAGTTTATAATAGTGGAAAAATGTTTATGCCAAACATTAAATAAGAAAAACATCAAACATCATACAGTATGATCCTACTTAAGTTAAATAGCAGTGTACATAGATAAGAGATCGGAAGGAAGTATAATTAAAATATTAACAGTTTTATCTATGGATGATCATTTTCTCTGATTGCCTTTTTTTTTTTTACAATGAATATAAAATTTTGGGATAGGTATAAAACTGTTATTAAAATACACATGTACAAATAATTTTATTGCACATAATGGCTGGCATAGATATAGCTACTTTGCAAAATCATATTTGTGAATAATTAAAACTTGCATGACACCCTAGCACTGGTGACTGCTGAGATTTTAGGGAAGGTCTCTGTGTATTTGTGCGTGGAAAGAGTCAGTTATGAATTACAAGGAGGCAGATTAATGAAGCACTCTTGGAGTCTTATATATAAAATTTTTTTACTTGTTTCATGAGTGTCTTTACATATTTCTTTCCTCAGAAAAAGTCTCGCAAGAAGATGTGTATCCTGGTGCTTGTCCTGTCAGTGATTGTTGCAGTCTTGGCATTTATTATCTGGCTAGTTTCTAAATGAAGTGTACTTGTCTCAGAGCTTTCTCCTGCTGAGCTGTTTTCAAGGGCAAGTGCTTGCTGGAGTCTTTTCAGAACAAACTGATCACAAGAAGACAGCATATACCAGAACGTCCTGTAATAATTTAGTTAGAAACTAACTACTAACTAGTTCTTGGTATTAGTAACAATAGAGACAGTATTTATCAATTTATGTATACATTTTATTGATTTCTCGAATTAGGAATTAACTTATGTGAATTTTGCTTTCTGTTGTATTCTGATTGCCCTTTATCATAAGTGTTTACTGAAAATTCCATTCTAGATATTCTTTTTGAAAGGTGACACTACAGTCTCATACTCTTGTCTTTTTATGTGTATATAAAATTTACCTTTTTACTAGCAAAGATGAATTTCTCCCTAGCACCTGGCATATTGGAGTCTGACAAAAACTGTACAATAGCCAGCAATTTTTATTATTTGACATTTTAATTTGAAATTCTAAGTAGTCTGTTCTCTGTGTTTGGAAGATTTTTGGCACTATATTTAATTGGAAAGTAAAAATTGCACATGTGATTCAGATTAAATGAGAAGTGTCTATTTGAGCTGGCTAGTTGCTGGGGTACATGTTATAATTGGATTTAAAGTTTATTATCTGCAAGTGTTATCCACAGTAGTTCATCTTCACATACACACTAAGCCATCCTGCTCCCTTGTTAAGGAGGTTAATTTCATGAACATTACTATACTTGATGGGATCCCTCTCGCAGCTATCTGCATAGAAAGGAAGAGTTAGATATAGCATGCTTTTGGAAAGCAAATAGGAATTGTTTGAAATGACTCAATCTTTTTGTTGTTGTTCTCTTGTGGTTCTACATTCCTGGTGAATGATGAATGCTGCTGTCAAAAGGCTGCCCCCTCCCCTGTGAGGGTTGCTGAGCAATTGATGGCAGGAAGATTTTAAAATCACACTGAAGTTGGGTTTAAAACTTAAGACTGTGAACCTGGTCATAAATCAAGGAAAAGGTTCGTTTTTGTAAATAATACTGGAGATGTTAGACTTATCCTGATTTATGAACAAGAGGTTAATCTTGGCCGGGAGCTGGTGGCTCATGCCTGTAATCCTAGCGATTTAGGAGGCAGAGATCAGGAGGATCGCAGTTCGATACCAGCCTGGGCAAGTAGTTTGCAAGACCCTATCTTGAAAACACCCATCACAAAAAAATGGGCTGGTTCAAGGTATAGGCTCTGAGTTTAAGCCCCAGTACCACGAAAAAAAAAAAAGTTAATCTCTCCATATACAGGTTAGGAAAGAAAAGTTTCAATAAAATATTGCTGTCTTGTAATATAAATGTTGTCCACTTCCCTTTTTCACTGACCTAGAACAGTTAAAGGGAGCATCATTTGTTTAGGTTGTCACATAAATGTGAATTGGGCCAACAATTTCAGTTAATTCTTTACTGAATTAGAGGATTTAGCTACTTTGGGTTTATTTATATTCATTTCTTTCATTCCCCTAATGTTACTTAACCTCCTTGTTCTAAAATAATGGGAACAGTTGAAAAACAAGGACTCAAATGCACAAGTTTCTTTGCATTTTTGCACCATCCTATTTAATACAAATAAACATTTAAAACTTTTTGAAGTAGTTTGTATGAGTTAGCATTCTTATGAGGTAGGTGTTAGGGAATGTGCTGTCATGAGAAAAATTGAGACTTGCAAGAAGACTGGAGACCAGGTTAAGGGTTCATTTGGGGGTAGAATAGGTGTTGCTGCCTTTTCTTCAAAAACAAGACACAGCCAGGAGTAGTGGATTGTTATCCCAGTACCTAGAAGGTTGAGGCAGGAGGACTGTGAATTTGAGGCCAGGCTGGATTGCATAGCAAGTTTGAGGCAAGACCCTGTCTCAAAAAAGATGAGAGAGAAAGGAAGAGAAGGGCAGGGAGGGACAGAGGGAAAAACAGAAAGAAAAGAGGGAAGGGAGAGTGGAATGGAGGGAGGGAGGAAGAGAAGGTGGAAGGAAGGGAAGGGAGAGAAGAAAGGAAGAAAGAGAGAGAAGGAAGGAAGGAAAGGAGGGAGGGAAGGAAGGAAGGAAGGAAGGAAGGAAGGAAGGAAGGAAGCTTCTTATCTGTGCCTTATCGTTGGGGCACCGTGGTCTGGGACAATGGTTCATAACTGGCTTTACATTAGAAACTTTAAATTTAAACTGATACCTTGCCCGCACCGCCCCCACACATCAGCCCAAGATTCTAATTTAGTCTGCAGTATATTTTGGGCACAGGGATTTTTTTTTTTATCTTTAAGATCCAGGTAATTATTATGTGCAGCCATAGTTGAGAACCATTGATTTTTGTCAAAAAACTAGACTGGGGGCTGGAGATAAGGCTTAAGTGGTAGAGTGCTTACCCAGCAAGTGCAAGGCCCTGAGTTCAAACCCCAGTACCAACAAAAAACAAAAACACATTAAAAAACAAAACAAAAACCCCTAGACTGCGGTGCAAAAGACTTGGACAATCTTATCGCTGCTATTAACCTTCTGAGGATATTTGGATAACTCATTTAACCCATAGGTTTCAAATTTTCTCAACAGTTCTTTTCTCTCTGATTAAAGGTGGTTTTAGTCTGAACATACAAATTATATGTTTGCCTTTGTATTCCTTTCCTTTATTCATCTATTCTGTTTTCTTTATTTGAATGTTCTAAGAGTATTCTCTAACATTGTTTCTTCAAGTGGATTAAAACTGTAGTATTTCCCTGGGTTTAAACCTCAATCCCACCAAAAAAGAAAAGAAGTAGCTAAAACTGTAGTACTGTATAGGGTAAAGTAAAAATGTCATCCTGGCACTTTATTTGGGAATGTTTCAGAACAAGAACTTGTTGCATGCTAGATTGATGCTCCCAGAGCAGCTCTGTGTGTGTGTGTGTGTGTGTGTGTGTGTGTGAGATTTTACTAAGGGGTGGGTAGGATTGGGAGTGTTCACTCACTGCATTGTACGATGTACTGCTCAAGCCACACTTACACTGCCTTGTTTTATGGAACAAAAACATCAAAATGAAATGACCAGTCTATGCAAAGTAGGACACTCTGAGCTGCTTCCACTTAGTTTTTCTTTTTATTCAGAATCTATCCTCAGTCATGGGAATGCAGCTTTTTCTTTTGGTCACTAAGTGCAGACTAGAGCTCATCTCACCTACCAATCTATCCTGCTCCCTAGGGCTAGGAATCACCTGCTTTCTTCCCTGCTTTTCTAAGCATGGTTAGTGTATCCCATGGACTTCAAAGGACTTTTCAGTGTTTCTAGCATCACAAAATATAACTACTTTAGAATCACCATTTAATTGGAATGTAGTTTGAAAAATTTTGTTTCCTACCCCTTGATCTACTGTTATACCAGCTGAGTAGTTCATTTTAATATTTTACCAAAATGACCTTTAATTCACAATGTAGCAAGCATTTCATTTTTAAAGAATAAACTTGTAACAATACAAGTTTTAGAATCTGATTATGATTAAGGACCAAGGTTTTAATAGTCCATGGAGAAATAAGGAAAATGATGCAGTGGAGTGTTTTTTTGTTGTTTGTTTTTTCCAAGTTGTATCCAAATCTGAGGTAATGTCCTTACAAGTTTTTTTTCTGGTGCTAGGGATCAAACGTGAGGTTTGCACAAGGCCCTGGTTTGATCCTTTGATCCCGGCACCACAAAACCAATAAAACGGTATTTTAACATTATTAAAATGAAAAGGTGGGACTGGGGATACAGCTCAGTGGTAGAACACTTGCCTAGCATGCATAAGGTCCTGGGTTCTATCCTGAGCATTGGGAGAAAAAGGTGTCTGATGTTAGATGGCAGATTTCATTTATAAATCTCCAGGTTTGCAAAATAAAATTGATACTCCTATATTCCTTTTTTTTTTCTTCGTGGTCCAAAAGGACCAGGGCAGGATGGTAGTCTGATTCAGAAATAAAAAGACTTGAGGAGGTGCTCTGCATATGATGGTCATTTGTGGAATATCTGAGCCCTCCTTACTACCAGGAAACTACTATGCTAACCTTTTACACTTCTTGTCTTATCTCCATAAAGCCATCTAGGAGCTGTATTTTTCTTGTCTCCCTTCAGGAAGCTGAGACACTATACCTGCCTATGGTCACACAACTTATAAGTGATGGAGCCAGGATTTGATCTTGAGCACTCCCACTTTAAGACCACCTTTGGATACTGTCCTTTGTCTCCATGCATCACTGATACAAGCTGTCCTGCTCACCACCTTTTCCATGATGATATTCTAAAAGTCTGGAGAAGTGGCAATTTCTTCCCAACTTTTCAAGAACATCCTTTCTTGAAAAAGTACATCTTGTGTACTTTTCATTTATCATCCTGCTAAATGAAGCCTCATACTATCTATATACACACAATTTCTTCAGTGTCTCCACTTGACCATTCATAACTCATACCAAAGATGTTTTAAGAAAGTGTTTTGACATTGATATGTTCCTGCTGACTTTCTAGTCTAAGGAAACCTGTTAAAGACTACGAAATTAACCTCTTTGTTGAGATAACAAAATCTGAAGGTAACTAGCTCAACAGTCTACATTTCAAAAGGGTAAGGGCCTACATTGCTGCCCTCCAGTTTGCTAGTCTATACTGACATCATTAGCGCCCAAACAAAGAGCATTTTGCTTTATAAGAGCCTAGGTAAGTATAAGGTGCCACTACACCAGAAGCCAGCGTGAATATCAGCTGTGCTAGACATGGGAAACATGCCAAGAAGTAAAGAATTATAAGGGTAAGAATACTGTTTTTAGTGTTCTTGGGTGTACATATGACACTTGGAGGATGAGACATAGAGGCTAAGAAATCAAAAGGCAAAGTTGACATAAGACTAGTTAATAGCTAGAAATGACTAGCACCATCTCATGCTTGGAAGGGTTATGGAACATCAAACGCCTACACAAATCTCTGTAGATACAAATATCTTACTCTTTTCTGTTACATTCGAAATACTTTTGAGACCATTTTATTCCTTCTCAACAATCATGTCCTTATGTTGAAAGGAGGGATCCATAGGATTATTGCTTGAAATGAAATTAAGAATTAGGATTGTTCCTAACCAGCCTCGTCTTTGGAATCACAAGACTGAAAAGGAGGATATTGGTAGGCCATTTGATAGTTGATCTGATTAGTTACCATTCTTCCTGAATGAGTTTTTTATGCTTTGAAGACCATCCAATTTGATGTTAATATTGCAGTTAAATCTTAAGGGCTGGAGACTTCACCCAGTACAAAATCTTTTGAATAGTCTAATTTGCTATTCCAGATCTAGAGGACCAGTAGCAGGGAATCAAAAAGAGAGATACTTTCATCACAGAAAGAGATTTCTTAACTAGTTGAGCAGTGACTGTTTCTGGATAAAGAATAATGTAATTAGTTCCTTTAAAAAAAAATTGCAAGTCAGATAATCATCCCAGGTTTTCTGCAGATGTGAAAGGGGGACACAAGTTGCATACTAATAAATATAGTTATACCAACAGAAAAGTGTGAGAGACAATGATTAATGAGCCTGGCCTTTTTTTTTTCATTGAGACTGGGATTTGAACTCAGAGCTTCACACTTGCAAAACAGGCACTCTACCATGTGAGCCACACCTCCAGTCCATTTTGCTTTCGTTATTTTGGAGATGGAATCTCGAGAACTACTTGCTCTAGCCGGCCTTGACTGTGATCCCCCTAATCTCAGCCTTCCAAGTAGCCAGGATTACAAGTGTAATCCTGTGCTCAGTTAGACTCAGGTTTGACTGCCATTCACCACTTGTTCTAGGTGAGGCTGGACAACTCACTCTGAGTCTCTCTTTCCAGGAATCAATAATCCCTATCTCTAGGATTAATCCCTATCTCTGAGGATTAAGTGAGATGATCTGCATAAAATGCATAGTAGCCCAGACAAGTAAGCACTCAATAGACAAAGCCATCACAACCAGAGGCCCTCCCTTGTGGTCTTCCCGTGAGATGGTGGCCTAGGCCAAAGCAGCAATCCAAATGCTTCCCTGCATAGTCTAGTCATTATGACCCAAAGCAAAAAAATCCTAAGGGGACAAAACTTGATTAACAATTTGAGCTATGCACAGTGAAGATTTGCACACCTACCTTCTAATTGGATCTGCTCTTGGATCAACTTGTCCAGAGTTTTCATAAAGAGACTATATGATCCCTAACTCAGATTCCCACATAATCTACAGAAGCCCTCAAGGCCTAGATTTAGAAAGACAGATTAGAAAGGACAAATGATTAGAACCAGAAATGAGAAGAACCAGAAGAGAAACAGAATGAGTGGGACTTCACCTCACTCTCTAGATTGAGGTGAAAGGTTGACAGGCTGACGGTGCAAGCCTTGGGGGCTGATGCAGTCCCAAGATTGCAGCGCAAGAGCTCTTGCAGGAGGACGCAGGGGGAGACTGACAACTTTCCCTACAATCCCTTTTCCTCTGACACCTCCCGGCCACGGAGAACTCCTAACCTCTGCATACTCTTAGAAACCAACTCCAAACCCTTTGACCTCAAAATCAGCCCTTAGTTCTACAGGCACCGCCCCACAGCCGTGCGTGCTCATGTGCGTGCGTGCGCGCGCGGACGCACAGACTGCTGGGATACCGCCTCTTCCTTCCCGGTCTCCCAGTTTCCCGGCGTGCTTCAGGCCCGCCAAATGGGAGGGGGAGACGCAAGATGGCGGCAGCCGCGAACTCCGGCTCCAGCCTACCGCTGTTCGACTGCCCGACCTGGTGAGTGGCGGGGCGGCGGGGGCCGGAGTGGCCTGGCTTGAGCTAACCTGGGCTGAAAGGGCGGCTCTTTTCTCACGTGGAAACGAACGGCTCGAAAGACCCTGTAATGATTGAGGGAAAACTGTCCGCTGTGTGGGGCCGGGCGACGTGTTGAGGAACCGGAGCCTGTAGCCCGGGCCCAGGAACTGAGGAGACCCAGGGGTGGGGGGCTCCAAGGCGTTCACTTAAGCAGTCCTTTGAGCGGGCAGTCGCTGGCCGGGATGCTCCGGGGCCTTGGTCCCTAACTTACCCCCAACTCCTGAGTGAGTGCCTGGTGCTCTTGTGGAGCTCAGTCCCTGGCCCCCTGCTGAACGTCCCGTGCGCGCACGAGCCAGCTTCCAGACCCCAGCCCAACCTGAGTCCTGCATCCTCTGTCGTTGCATCCCGCGTGCGGGGCCTGTCTTGTCTCCCGCCGACTGGGAGCTCCCTGAGGGCAGGGATGGCGCTGACCCATCCCCTTGTTCTCTGTGACCAGCACGAAGCCTGGCACAAAAACCTTCTGGAATTTCCATTCCAGAAAAGGGAATGAACCCTTTCCATCCCTTGGAAAGTTGTTGGGAATGGTGGGATAATTTGGTCTTTGAGTAGGCTTACAAGATGAACAAATGTTAATTGTCTTGCAGGGAGCGTTTTCTCCTGTAGCCCATCACAGTGTATCATTAACATGTTTTTTGCCTCTGTCTCCTGTCATGTTGAGATTTTCAAGGACACTGACGTTTGCATCGTTGTATTCTCAGCTCCTAGGCCTGAGGGCAGGCACATAGTAGATGTTCTGAAAGTATGTTTTAGGTAAAATATTCTTTTTCCTGTTTCCCAGAGAAAATGGACTTTTGTCCAGTTCACTGTCCTTTTAACTACTACCATAAAAGGTTGGGGTAAGATTGTGAGATATATTGCATCTTCAATTAGATAGACAGGATACACTTCTTATATGCAAATATAGGGGCTTTGGAAGGTTCAAATGAGCAAACCTAGGAAGCAAGTGATATGTGGCTCTTTTCTGGATTTCTTTACACTTTTGTAACGAACATTTGCTTCAGCCTATAAATTCTTAGTCCTTTTTGGTCTCTGGCTGCATTGATTTCAAATTTGGGACAGCACAGAAAATATAGTTAGAAGAGACTGAGGTCACCTACTGTTTCCTCAGGATCTGGTATGTACCATGCATTGTACTAAATGCTTTGACATATGTGTATCTCCCTTGAATGGTGTGGCAGAGTACAAAGAAAAGTTTCCTTAATTACAGTATAGAAGATCTCTTAAAGGGTGCCATACCTCCCGTATTCTTTTGGTACTTGGTTTCATGGCACAATTTTGAATTGCTCTAATTCCCTAATTGTGATTTGGTTTCAGAACTCAGACCAGTACCTTCTGCTTGTTCTGTAATGGAACTAATCCAAAACAACTGATTTATTCTGACTTTATATGGTATTGGGGTAGTAGCAAATTCTAGATTCAAGCTGCAGGTGACCAGACTATCCCAGTTATGGTACTTGTATTCTCTATGCTGCTTTCTCTCTGAAGTGAATATCCAGTGTTAAAGTACAGGTTTCTTTGGTGCTGCTCTAAATATAGATCTACTAAAATCTCTTTTAGAGCAATTGAATCACTTGGGAAGTGTCAAATGTAGAAAAGAACTATAACAGTGAAATAGTTGACGTTTCTGCTTGTACATGAACTAATTATAGGCTGGTAGAAGAGCTTCAAAGTTGAATGGGATAGTGATTGTAAATAACATTTATGAACTCATCCTGAAAATTCTTTTTTCACTTTTTTCCAGGGCAGGTAAACCCCCACCTGGTTTACATCTGGATGTAGTCAAAGGAGACAAACTAATTGAGGTATGGAAATACATGTCTTCTCTGTCTCTCCTAAACACCATTCTAAAGATTTTTGTGAGTGACTCATTTTTCCACCCCCTCTCCTGTGCTTTGTTTTCCAGCAATGCTACTTTTGTTCATTCTGAAGGTTTTTTTTTTTTTCCTATTAAAAGTTCATGACGATATAACACATTCAAAGCTCAGATCTCCCACAGGCACTCAGTGTTTTTGTTTTGTTTTTTTTTTTTTTTGGTGGGGGGTAGAGGGTAGGGGAGCTTTACCTCTCTCATCTTCCAATGAAGATTTTTTAATGGGGTTGTTTTTTGGTGGTTCTGGGGTTTGAACTCAGGGCCTCACTTGCTAAGACAGGTGCTCTACACTTGAGCCACTCCACCAGCCCTAAATGAAGAGCTTTAATAGGTTATGGGCCTGTGGACCCATGGAAGCTCTCTAACTTGGTGAATTCCTTCCTGTTTGAGTACTTAGAATTGTGTGGAATACACAACATATACAATAACTGAAGAAGAAAGTGAATGATATGTTAGGGTTTAACTTGTAAGTTGCTCTTTTTTGAGATTCAGGTCCAACCCCTTCAAAGAAGTATGATAAACTTAGCTACTTCCTTAAAAAAAAAGAACAAAATATTGGTAAAATTCATTTGTTTAAAACATCCAGTGGGAGAGACAGATCACACAAAATGTTATATAATTATAATTGAAATAAGTGCTATAAATGAAAAATTTAGCAGAATTCCAACTTTTATACAAGTCTTGAGTGAGTACTTAGAATTTCAAGGGAATACAAGTTTTGATTAGCTATTAGGTTGTGTAAGTTTTTTAATATCTATTGTTGTTTACCAGGAAATGGGGATTAAACCCATGCCCACTCAGCTAGAATTTAGATTCAGGTTCCCATTAGTGAAAGCAGTTGTTTTTCTTTGATGTATATAATGAAAAACATTGAAATTCCACAATTAATAGTTTGAAAAGTTAGTGAGATCTCCCTTTTTTTTTTTTTTTGGTGGTGCTGGAGATTGAACCTAGGGCCTCTTGTGATTCAAAGTATCAGGATTATGTAAGGAAATAATTTAACTAAAAATACTTGTTAAACCTATGTTACTATAGATACTTCCACAGTTACAAAGTATTTATTGTCATATAGAATTGCATGAAGCTCTAAGGCATAGAAATCTGTTTTGTTACTGGAATGTAGTAAATCTGGTCAATTTATCAATCATCCCTCTGATTACTGGTTTCCATTTGCTGATAATGTTCTCTGTCTTTCAGTGCTGTTAGGTGTACAATGGTCTCATGCATGGTAGGCATGTGCTCTACCCCTGAGTTGCAATCCCCAGCCCAGATGTGTTTATTTTTAAGGATTTAGACTTGATCAGCACTCGATACTAACCAAGCTATCTATATCCTAGTCTGTGTCAAAGGCTTGTGATATGTTGTGATAGCTGGGTTGAAGAAGTGCAATATTAAAAGCCATGAGGTTTTTAAGCCCAGTGTGTAAAGACACACTCTGAGTTATAACTCATAGGCACAACTGGATAGTGGTATTAGCTATAACTAGTCAAGAAGTTATGGCTTTAGTGACCATGGAAAGAGCAGTGCATTATTTTATTCACTCTAACACATTTGCTTAATTCTAACACATTCTATTTTCCACTAAGATGCCATGCATTTTAATGTTTCTACAATTCTGATGCCTTTAATAGTGAATATATACCTTTAACTTTGTAGCCCTTTCTCTCTACCCCAAACAAATCTCTTGATCTCTGATAGGTCTTTTTGGTCCCTAGAATTATTATATTAGAAATCAAGAGTTGGTAATCTTATAGATTTCTTTGTGACCCATTGTGGGCACTGTGGTTAGCACATTTAAGTTTGCGAGAACATACTCTTTGTAATAAATGTGAATGAGAAATGCAGTAGAATTCAGCATGAATAAATGTTACCTAGAGAGAACAGGTGTTATAATTTTAGGACTCTCCTTTAATTCTAAAGTAATCCTTTTTTTTTTTTTTTGGAAACAGAGCTTCTGTGTAACCCAGACTAGTCTTGTAAAATGCTCTGTAGTAGTATGGTATGGTCCTGGAATAAGATGTACCACCAGCAAATGGGCATTGTTGGACAGGTTTTCCCAGCGGTGCCCCACATATTCAAGCTAGGTTGAGCTAATTGAACCTTAAAGCTAAGCTTTAAAACTGAGTAAGTGGGCCTATAATCCTAGCTACTCAGGAGGCAGAGATCAGGGGAATCTCGGTTCAAAGCCAGGCCTGGGCGAATAGTTTACAAGACCATGTCTCAAAAATACCCAGTACAAAAAAAAGGGCTGTGAAATGGCTCAAGTGGTAGAGTACCTGCCCAGCAAGCCTGAGGTCCTAAGTTCAAACCCCAATATCTCCAAAAAAAAGAATATGACCTACAGTACCTATACACTCCTTAAAATAATCATTGCTATGTGGTATATCTTTTGATAGAAGTGGAATGGGGAAAATATATAACATATGGTTAAAAGAGCTCAGACTCTAAAGTCAGAGAAATCTGAATGTTTAACCCAGCCCACAAATATCTAGCTTTGTTATGAACCTGAGTAAGGTAGTTATTTACTTGGGGTGGGAGACAGTATTGGGGTTTGATCTCGGGGCCTGGTGCTTCTAGGCAAGCACTCTGCCACTTGAGCCTTGCCCTCAGCCCATTTTTGCTTTAGTTATTTTTCATGCAGAGTATTGTGTGTTTACCTGGGACTGGCCTCAGACCACAGTTCTCTTACCTAGACCTCCTATGTACCTGGGATCACAGGCATGTGCCATGGTGTCCAACTTATTTGTTGAGATGGGGTTTTGCTAATGTTTTGCCCAGATTAGCCTCAAACTTCGATCCTCCTATCTCTGCTTCCCAAGTAGCTAGAATTATACATGTGAATCCCCAGGCCTGGATGGACTGGGGTTTGAATTCAGGGCTTTGAGCTTGCAAAGCAAGTCACATCTCCAGTCTAGTAGTTAATTTCTTTCTTCATGCCTCAATTTTGTCATCTATAAAAATAGAAAGGTTAGTACCTTCCCTCCTCATAGGGTGTTAGTCTTCACATAATATGATGTAACAAACTCATAGCACAGTATGTGGTACACAAGTGCTCAGCGGTTATTGTTACCAGTGCCTAAAAATCTTTCCATGAGATATGGAGACTAATGCATATGGGAGAATAGCAGCCCACTGTGAGTTCAAGGACTTAGCCAGGAATGAATCCTAGCATAGTACCGCCTTTACTGTGCTTTTCTTCCCACCTTTGTGCTGTTTTGTTTCAGGCATTATTTACTTTCTTTTTTTTTTTTTCTTTTTTATTGTCAGTACAGGACTTTATGCTTGCTAGGCAGACACTCTACTGCTCAAGCCACACTTCCAGCTGCTTTGTGCTTCTTAGTTCCTTTTTGTCCTAACATTAGGAACCAAAAAAACTTAAAATTTCCAAAAAGACTCTTAATCCTTTATGTCATGGGGATAGGCCTCTTACATGTAATAGAATTTTAAAAAGTTATTTTCACAGTGATACTAGATAATCAAGCACTATATTTAGGGAACATCAGTGTTCTTATGTTGAAGAATTATGGGTACATTGAGGTGCAGCTGGTCTGGGCAGAACATTCTTGAGGTCATTTGCACCTTCTTACTGGGAAAAGATGCCCAGTGTTGTTGTTTTTTTAAATTAGTATATAATAGTTGTACAGGGGCATACATTGTAGTATTTAATATGTGCTTACAATATATCTTAGTCAGATTTACCCCCTGCATCGTTCTCCCTCCTCCTCCCCCTTCTTAGAACAGTTTCAACAGATTTCATTCTTCTATTTTCATATATGAATACAAAATATATTCACCCTCATTCACCTTTTCCTTATGCCCTCCCACTGGTACCCACCCCTGGAAAAGACCTTTGTTACTCTCCTGTTCTTTTTTTTTTCCCCCCAATGCCTTGAAAGGAGTGCTTATAGTGAGACACAAAGACTGTTTTTTCATGCTCAATTGCCCTGATCCCAGTTCTTTAACAATCCTATGAAGGACTTCCTTCTGAATTTGGATGAGTCTATTGCTCTAAGGAGGAAATTCATTAACAAGGCATCGATGGCACTCACAGCTTTGTAATAGTAGCATTGGTTAATGTCCTCCAGGAGCCAGTAGGTAAACTAATGGACCAAATTGCTTTTTCTCATAGCCAGAAGTGAAAATACTAGATTTTGACCATTTAGGAATTAGGACTGTCCCCATTTGGTATCTTATGTGTATGATTAGACTTAGAAGATTGCTTAGGGGCATGCTACAGGAAAGACTGGGATGATTTGTTCCAGACAAAAAGCCCCTGAATTGATTTTATCATACTTCCCCCACCCACCCAACCCCCACCCAAAAAAATGGGGACTATTTTTTTCTCCTTGGCAAGAAATTTTAACTATTCAAGGTTCTCTTCTTAATTGATTAGAAGTTTTTGGTAAACTTTGTTGCAATAAGATTTAAGTAGTATTTAATTTGATATTTATTTAGAAACTGATTATTGATGAGAAGAAGTATTACTTATTTGGGAGAAACCCTGATTTGTGTGACTTTACCATTGACCACCAGTCTTGCTCTCGTGTCCACGCTGCACTGGTCTACCACAAGCATCTCAAGAGAGTTTTCCTGATAGATCTCAACAGTAGTAAGTATCTCCCTCCCTTTTCACATGGTCCCTGTAGGCAATGTGAAAATGCTCTTTGGTTCTTAGTTTGGAAAACATGTTCTGTAGCTCATGAAGGAAAGTTTTATTTTGTTTTGTTTTTAATCAGCCAGTCTATTTCTGTGATTCTCCTATTTTCCTTAAACAATTGATGACTGACTATAGAGAGGAGAAGGCTTTGGGAAACACTGTTCTAGAAGGAGGCACTTCAGTTTTATATGGAGAACAAAAACGGTACCCAGGAATTAGGGAGTGCTGGTAGTCAAGTGTTCATAGGACCATGATAAATTGTGGCCCATTTTAAGCATAAGTAGATTAGCAACGCAGGACTTTTTTTTTTTTTTTTGGCAGTACTGGGGTTTGAACTCAGGGCCCCTCACTTGGTAGGTAGGCATTCTACCACTTGAGCCATGCCTCCTAATATAGAATTTTTTAAGAATACTTATTTTGAGCAAAATTTATTATTTATAATAGGTTTTTTTAATCTTAGCTACATTTTTCTTTAACTGGGAATTATATCAATTTTAATTTTACGAGTACATTCTAATAAGATTTTACTAAACTTCTAGTGTGTGTGCCTCTGGAGTCCGTTTATTTTGTCCACATATGAATGCAGTATAAAATGTAGAGTTCTTCCTGGGCTCATGTTTGGCACCTCTGCCCCCATACAACACTCACAGACCTACACTTCTCCCAATCTGCTTACATAAGGGAGCCTGGCCTTATAGTACATATGTTATCCTTTCTCTCTGTTTCATAACATGCAAAATGGAAAATACTCAGAATCTGTAGTAGGATTTTGGCTTGTTTTGGCACTGATAATACACCTATATTGACCAAGTTGCTCTCTTGTCCTGGGGAAAAACCAAAGCATAACTGCCACCAGGCCAGCAGTTTTCATGTTCCTCTGACTTGGAACTGGAAAGGGCAAACCACGGCAATATCCATCTCCTGCCTTGGGGAGGGGCATAGCTTTTGCTGAGTGAGAGTCGTTCTTCCTGGACCCAGAATGGAGCCAAGCAGAGAATGCAGTGGGCTCAGTGCCATTTTCTTAAAAAGCTTGTTTTCTGCCTGGCCTGGTGGTACACACCTCTAATCCCAGCACTTGGGAGATGGAGGCAGGGGCATTGAGAGTTTGAGACCAGCCTGGGCTACATAGTGAGTTCAAGGCCAACATGAACTGCATAGTGAGACCCTGTCTCAAAAACTGGAGGAGGAAAGGTTAGGGTTGTAGCTTAGTGATAGAGTGCTTACCTAGTGTGCACATAAAGCTCTGGGTTTATGTCCTGAATGTGACCTTTTTTATAACTTTATTTTTGGAGGGAGGTGGTAACTGGAATTTGAACTCAGGGCCTCACACTTGCAAAGTAGACGTGCTACTGCTTGAGCCACTCCACCAGTCCTGTTTTGTGTTGGGTATTTTCAAGATAGAGTCTTGTGAACTATCTGCCCAGGCTGGCTTTGAACCATGATCCTCCTATCTCTGCTTCTTGAGTAGCTAGGATTACAGGTGTATAACTTAAAAACTAACAAACAGAAAAGCAAAACTGATGTGCTAAGAGGAGCTGACATCCGAGAGTTGAAGAGGGCTGGGAGTGTAGCTCAATGGTAGAGTGTGTGCTTCGCAGGCACAAGGCCCTGGGTGTTCAGTCCTCAGCACCAAAAAGAGAGAGTTGGAGAGCAGAAGGTTTATTATTCTCTCCCTTTTAAAACTCAGACTTTTTTTTTTGCTTTCTCCCCTTACGTTTCTGATTTGGTTATTCCTAGCACACGGCACTTTCTTAGGTCACATTCGGTTGGAACCTCATAAGCCTCAGCAAATTCCCATTGATTCCACGGTGTCATTTGGAGCATCCACAAGGGCATATACTCTGCGTGAGAAGCCTCAGACATTGCCTTCGGCTGTGAAAGGAGATGAGAAGATGAGTGGAGAAGATGATGAACTCAAGGGCTTACTGGGGCTTCCAGAGGAGGAAACCGAGCTTGATGTAATTCCATGTCTTTATCATTTTGTCTTTTGGGACCCTGGTTTTTACAGTTTCTTGTAGCTGTTTTTTTGTAGCTTGAAATGTCAGTGATTTAGCTACAGAAGGTTGTCTTGAACCTAGTAATGTAGTGTGGACATCTGTGACTGATCTTCCTGCCACTAGACCTTCCTAAGAATCTTGTGCTGCTTCATGGTTGTTAGAAGCCAAAACCAAGAGTTACATTTTTTTGTCCTGTGACTGCTTAGTCCAATGTAGTAGCCACTAAACACATTTCAAGTACTCAGTAATCGTATGTAGATACTATGTTGAGAATATAGTAAGCTCTTAGTTTCAGCAGGTTCTGCATTCAGATTCAGCTAACAGCAGATCAAAGATTTGGGGGAAGGGTATTGCATATGTACAGACTTTTTTTTTTATTACTCTCCAAACAACACAGTATAATTATTTTCACAGCATTTATATTGTATTTCATATTAGTTATCTAAAGATGATTTAAAGTATAAAGGAGGATGTATATAGGTTGTGTGCATTTTATTTGAAAGAGTTGAGCATCTGCAGATTGGTGTCAACACTGGGTCCTGGAATCAAGGTGTGCCTCTTTCTTTCCCCTCCATACCCAAGGACAACTATATTTCCATCACCACAGAAAGTTATATTAGACAACACTGGCTTAGCAAAACTAATACTTTCATTCATTCATACAGCTTTTTTTGATACTGTCTGAACAGCCCAGGAGTCTTCTACATAGAACTAGACTGCTTGATAGGCCTGGTTGATGCCCTGAAGGCCATGAATTTTACAAAATTTTAAAGTACTAAGTTTTCCTTATTTATTTACTTAGTTGCTAAGGATTGAACCCAGGGTCTCATGCATGCTAAGCACTTGCTCTGCCACTGACCTATATCACCAGCTCAAGTTTTCCTTTTCTAGAAGATGTCTGTCACTGCACTGATGTGACTTGTCTGTTTAGATAGACCAAATGCAAAACATGTCCTTAACCATCCACATGCATTTACTATTCTTGTACCAAGGCCGGGTTCCCAGTCTTTAGGAAGACCCAAGCACAAAAGCTTAGAATTTAAAAGTCGTTTTGTTCTGAAGAAGTCACCTCATACCTAGGGACCTTGCTGGCAATCACTCTTGCCTTTTTTCCCCTCCAGGTCACTCACATGCTTCCCTATATTTTTCGTTCAGTGTATTAAGTCCTCTCTGGGTCTTTATTCTGAGACATTTGGAATAATCTTAAACTGCAATGCAGATTGGAAGAAATCCAGTGGATCAGGAAGGTGCAGGCAGCAATGCTATGGCTGAGTTAATCATTGAGATAAATGAATGGGTGGTTATGAGTAGAACTGGGGCCAGACCCAGGAAGGGAAGTAACAAAAGGTAGTGAGTGTCCTTAAGAATTTTAAAGGAGAGAGCTACTGAGAAAGAAGCAATCAGTTGTCCTTTTTCATCTTGTTTTTTTTGTTGTTGTTGTTTTGCTTTAAAAAAATTCTTGGTGTTTCTTCCCATCACATTTCCTTTAATTCTCACCATAAAAACATGATGGCTTTCCTTTAAAAAACAAACTCAAGCCTGGCACCAGTGGCTTATGTCTATAATCCTAGCTACTCAAGAGGCAGAGATCAAGAGGATCAAGGTTTGAAGCCAGCCTGGGCAAACAGTTCACAAGACCCTATCTCAAAACCTTTTGCAAAAATAGGGCTGGTAGAGTGGCTCAAGGTGAAGGCCCTGAGTGCAAGCCCCAGTACCACAAAAAAAACAAAACAAAAAGGGTGACCTGTTCTCACTCAAGGCCCTTCACTCTTTTTGACTAGCACTCCCTCATTAGTCAATGAAGATATTATACATTCTTTCAAATGAGACTTGTTAATATTAGCAGTCTGAGGACATCATGAATTTTTTGTGTATGCAAGAGTCTCATTTGCCTTAGGAGGTCAGAGTAAGCCACAAATGCCTTGTGCTCTTTGGTAGTGTTTTCTCCACGAAATTCCCTGGGTCTTGACTCCTGTTTTTCCTGTTTGAACCTTGGTCTAGAACCTGACAGAGTTCAACACTGCCCACAATAAGCGGATTTCAACACTCACCATTGAAGAGGGAAATCTGGACATTCAGAGACCAAAGAGGAAGAGGAAGAACTCAAGGGTGACTTTCAGTGAAGATGATGAGATCATCAACCCAGGTGAGGTCTCTTCCTAGTTTCTCTGATGAAAAAATTAATGATCTTAGTAGCATACACAGCCTACAGATCAAATAGAAGATTTCTCAGCTAAGGTTGGGATAAAAGGTACTATATTAAGGGGAGATAATTTTGTATGGTTCATCAGCAGCGTACCCTGAGCTCTTAAGCATTATCCAGTTATAATGAGAAAGAAAAAGCTAAAGAAAGGGCCCTGGAAAATAAGTGTAGAGAGCAAGGCTAATTCTTCTAGACTAATCCAGTATGTCTATATTATAGCAGAAGTTGAAGTCTAAAGGTATAGGTAATAGTTTTACTTCAAAACCGAACATTACTCACTTTATGGGGTTCTGAGTAGGGTTGGTAGCTCCAAAGTTGGAGCACCTTCTGCCACTCTTAATCACATTGAAGACCAGCCTATCTGTGAGGAAGTCACTTACAGATAGTTGGTATGGAAATGTCAGCAGGATGAGAACATCAATTTATAGGGAAGGCCACTGAGATTGCCAGTTTGTTGCATCACTCCGTATTCACTTAGTGGGTTTATGTTATATCTCAAATGCTCTGGAAGATGAATGATACAGAGTGAAGAAGTATGTATAGTTTATACCATGATGATAAAAATTGGGATTTTTTTAAAAAAACAATCTTATTTGAAAATAAATTTCAGTAGATGGAAATGAGGATTGCAGCCTAACAAATTGCTTTTATTTCCCAAACTGAAATGCTGTGAAAATAATTTTCAAGTCCTTTCTTTAGGATCAAAATATAAATTATTTAAATGGAGATTTGCTCCAAAGACAGCCTTAAAAAAAAAAAAAAGACCTAGGGATGTTAGTTCATTGAAAATACAGTCTGAGTCACAAGGGGACGTAAGACTCCTTAAGTGCAATTCAAGACTAAACTATAGAAGACTGGTGGGGACATTAACCTCACTGATCTATGTTTAGATCAAAACCCATCCAAATGTGTTGTTTTGTCTTGAGGAAGAAAGAAATGGCTCACAGATGTGGAAATAGTCCCCTGGATGCTAAGGGTCTTAGGGTGAGGAGAAAGGGGAGCATGCCACTGTGGTCTGGACAGAGTGCACCAAAACCAAAGCCAGTGGGTGCTAAGTATTTGTCTCAACATAAAAAATAAATAAATAAATAAATAAAAATCAAATCCCTGGCTTATATTTAGAAGGATTAAAAGGATTCCTCTGAAAGAAATCAGGCCGTTTGTTGTAGTGACTGTAAGTTCGCTTTCTAATGGTGTGTGAAGTAGAATGGATTCCTTCTTAAAGTAGTAAGTGCCAGCGGAAATGTTCAGACTGGGGTTTAGGTGACCATTCTGATAAGCCTGTTCCTAGCCCCACAACCTACTGAATAAGAGTTTCCACAGGTTGACCTAAAATTGCTGTTTTTTGGTTTTTACAGTACTGGGGATTGAATCCCATACCTTGCATATGCTAGGCAAATGCTCTACCACTGAGCCAACACCACCAGCCCAGAATTTTGTATTTTTAAATAAGCTCCTGTTTATAATAATAATAATAATAATAATAATAAGCCAGCAATTTGTGACCTACTTGTCTAGTTAATCTCTAGTCTCTTTCAGGAGGCAGGGTCTGTTTTGTTGCGTTTTTCTCCTTGAAAATCAACACCCTGGGCCAGGCATGGTGGCTCATGCCTGTAATCCCAACTACTCTAGGAGGTGGAGGCCTGGAAAATCACACTTGCAGCCAGCCTGGGTAAAAAGTGAGACTCCCATCTTAACCAGTAAGCTGGGATAGTGGTGCATGCCTATCATCCCAACTGTGCAGAAGGCGTAAATAGGAAGATTGAGGTCCAGACCAACCTAGGCAAAAAACACAAAACCCTTTCTGGAAAATACTGTAGGAAAAAGAGCTGAGTTGTGGCTGAAATTGTAGAATGCCTGCCTAGCAAGCATGAGACCCTGAGTTCAAAACATAGTAAATTAGCACCCTGGAGCTTTATCAGAGAGTGTGTTGAGGCATGCCATCTTAGTACTTAACAGTAAGGGCTTTCATGGTACACACCTGTAATCTCAGTACTCAGGAGGCTGAGGCAGGAGCATGAGTTTTAAACCAGCATAAGCTGCATAGCAAGACCCTGTCTCAAGAAAGAAAGAGCAGGGGCTTGAGCTGGGTGTGGTGGTGCATGCCAATATGGGATACACAGTGAGACCCTGTCTCACAACAAAAAAAGCAGGGACCTTAAAGTCAGGAGGCCCGAGTCTGAAATTCACCTTTTCACTTAGTAGCTTTATATCCCTATCCAAGTGACTAGGCAAACTACTGACCTCACAGAATTGGTGGGAAGATTAAATTAATATGTAAAAAATACCTAAGATCAGTGTCCAGCATCAGTAATCCCTCAGTAAACATTATTAGCCATTATCACCCATGCAGCCTTTCCCACATCAAGGTAAAGTTAACAAGAAATTTATAGTTAGGTGTTGAGGAATGCAAATATCCCAAATGGTATATCCTTTCTTTCTAGGACTGGAGTAGTTAGAAGGAAGGAATAAAAGGTTCTGGCTGAAGAGTGCTCAGGGCACCCTAGAGAATAGGGCCTCATGGAATGGCTTTAATTTTGCTCCACCACAGGCACATAAGGGACCTTTTGCCCATTAGCCACTCTACTTAGGTTCCGGTTGCTTTTTTTGAGGCAAGAGTCTCTTTATGTTGCTCAGACTAACCTCCAACTCAAAATCCTCCTGCCTCTTCCTCCCACGTGCTGCACTACTACACCCAGCAACTCTGGCTTCTCTTGTGCTTTATTAGCCCTCCTTGCTGAAAGACTAATTAGAACAGCACTCCTATGGCCATGAGAGAAAAGATAGGGGAACCTCTTTAATGACCATGTCCCTTTCTTAAAGCCCCTAGGTATCTTTGCCTCTGTCTTCTTGAATGTAAAAGCCATTCTTTTATTCATTCAACAAAGGTTGGTTGTGAACATAATATCAGGGTATATTCTTTTTTTTGTGGTGCTGGGGTTTGAACTCGGCCTACACCTTGAGCCACTCCCCTAGCTCTGTTTTCGTGATGCTTTTTTTTTTGAAATAGGGTCTTGTGAACTATTTCCCTGGGGTGGCTTGGAACCATGATCCTCCTGATCTCTATCTCCTGAGTAGCTAGAATTACAGGCATGAGCAACTGACACCTGGGTTGGGTATATTCTTCAAAGGCATTGCTAGACTTAAATAAACTAGGAGCTCTGGTCGTGTGGCTCAAGTGGCAGAGTGCCTGCCTAGCAAGCATGATCCCTGAATTCAACCATTTAAGCCGCTCCACCAGCCAGACAAACTATTATTTTTTTGTGTGTGTGTTTTGTTTTGTTTTGTTTTTGCAGCACTGGGGTTTGAACCTAGTGTCTCACTAGGCAGGCACTCTACCACTTGGGCCATAGTTATTTGAATTAAGTAGGGATTCTGTGTTTTCCACAGGGATTCATTAGAAGTGTTTGTTTCACTAGCAAACAGCTTTAATGCAGTTAAAAAAAGATGTACAAGCCAAGTGTGGTGGTACAAGCTTGTAATCTCAGCACTTGGGAAACCAGAGGCAGGCGGATCATTAGTTTGAGACAAGTCTGGGGAAGCAGAGTGTGATCAAGTGATCAAGACCAGCCTAAGCTACGGAGTGAGACCCTATCTTAAAAAAAAACAAAATAGGCGGCTGGAGGCATGGCTCAAGCTGTAAAGCACCTGCCCAGCAAGTGTGAGGCCCTGAGTTCAAGCCCCAATACTTCAAATAAGTAAGTAAATAAGTAAATAAATAAATAGATGTACAACATCTTTTAGGGAAGCAGTTCCTTTTCTATCATGATATTAAGCTAAGAGGGCTTAAGGTAGTTTTCTCTGCATACCTATTTCTATATGCTCATCCTTTGGTAAGGCAACTTCCACATCCTAGGTGCACACAGCCACTTTTCTGTGTTCTGGTAATGCCATTTGGCATTTTCTTGAAGCACCTCTGATGTGTTGTAGCCTGTTTGGCTCTGTTACTGCCAACTCCTCAAAGGCAGGACAGAATTTTACTCTTTATTTCCATGCCTAACCTCTGTTGCATGAGACTTGAGAGTGCTGAAAAGTAAGCATTTTATCTGTCCTTAATTCTTTCTCCCTACAGAGCAAATGAAGCCAGAAGTATGTAGGGTATGATGATGTATGTGCAAGCTGTGAAAAAGGAGCTGCTCTCCCATACCACTTGGAAAGGGGCTATCAGTAACCCGAGATTGATAATGTCTGCTTTTTTTTTTTTCCTCTTCCTTGAAAGGAGGGAAATGTATGGAATGGGAAAAAGCCTTGGGGAAGGGGATGCTGCTTCTGCTGGTGCACAAAAATCCCAGCTCCTCCCATCTCCACCAGGGGACTGGCCCTGTATTTTCACTCCTCCAAGCCTCAGTCTGTTTTCTCACTACCTAATAATGTTGAGTGCAGTAGTGCCTACCTCATAGGGTTGTAGGGAGGATTTAGCACAGTGCCCAGCTCATGTTAAACAAACTCAATGTTAGTTGTATTTTTCTATTTGAACAAATTGTTGTTATTGATTTGCAGTGAGCCCTCTACCCTTATTCCTCTCAGTAGCCCAGCAGAGTACCAACCCAACCTTACCCTCTTTTTTGCAGAGGACGTGGATCCCTCAGTAGGTCGCTTCCGGAACATGGTACAAACTGCAGTGGTCCCGGTCAAGGTAGGGAGTTCATTTTAACAGCATTTGAAATGCCATTTAGTCTGTGTTCAAAAACCTCTCTGGGGGCTGAGAGTGGAGCTCAGTGGTAGAGTGTATGAGTAGCAAAGCCCTAAGTTTGCCCCAGCACTGCAAATAAAAATTTAAAAAAAGAAAGAAAATACTGTGCAGGTGAGTGTTAAATGAGTGTGTAATTTTAAAACACATTCTTTGCTCTCCTCCCATTTTTTATTCTATGGAAATACTCTTACCTTCATCTATGTCTGGGGAATCCAGAGTACCACAGAAAGGTTGCACATGACCAGCCAGCTTGATGGGATGTAAATTATGTGCTGTGGGAATGTAAGCTTAATCTTCCAGAAAGGTGCAGAGAGAGGCCCTACTTTCCCTCTGACTCAAAATAAAGGAGAAGCATTACTGTAGTATTGCATGGCACCTATGGCTTTTGCTGTGCCATTTTGTGAACAGGAATGGCAGGTCAGTCTAGAGCTGGGTTAGGTTTAAAGTTGCAGAGATGCCATGATTCCCAGCATATGGAGGAAGTTTTCCTGGTGCGTAGAACTGTCCTATTAACAGATCCCTGTTAATAGAGGTTTTCAAAAAGTGTTTGGAAGAGGCTGGTCAGAGATGCTATAGAGAGTTTTAGTTTTTAAAGTCTTATGTTGTCATCTCTTGGTATCTGTATGGGATTGATTTTAGGGCCCCTCTCAGGTACCAAAATCTATGGGTGCTCAAATCCCTTATATAAAACACATAGTATTTGCATATAACCTATTTTCATCTCCCTCCTGTTTCTACTGACCCTAACTGGGTCAAATGATAGAAGACAAATAGATAGAAGACAAAGCTGGCACCAGGTGTGCTGGGCTCTTGGAGACGCACAACAACCTTGTTGCTTTTTTATTCTTCTTTACTCTGCTTCTTTTCTTTAAGGCCTTACTCCTTTACAATTCTTTAAAACCTTAGTTCTAAAGTCTTTCCTTTCTCTTCTTTAAAAGTCTCTTTCCTTAGACTCACACTGTCCCATGTTTTCTCTTTAAAGTTCTTAAAATCTTGGTCCTTAGACTTGCACTGTCTCATCGGACTTGCACTGTTCCATGTTCCCTTTAATCTCTCTTAAAGTCTTGGCCCTTAGACTTGCACTGTCCCATGTTCTCTTTAGCTTAGCTTTTCTAAAGTCTATGTATAAAGTTCTCAGTGCAGAAAGCTGTTCTGGTGGAGACACACCAGACAGCGTCAGTCATCAGCCAATCAAAATCCCCCATCAAAAAGCTTCTTGTCCTCCTTCAGTGAGTATTTTAGGAGGTGGAGCAAAGTTCTGTCAGGGTAAACAACTTAGGAAAAGCAGCTGTGCTGCATCTGCGGCTATGGCCATGCCAAATTCAGCCTGCTGATTATTGGGCACAGCTGTGCTTATGTCACATTCTCATAGGCTTCTCATAATCTGCTCCCCACACTCCTGTATATTTTTGTGATGCTAGGGATTGAACCCAGAGCTTGTGCATGCTAGGCAAGAGCTTGCCTACTGAGCTACATCCCGGCCCCTCTTCCTTTATACTTCAGAGCATCTCTATATTACTTATAACTAATACATGGCAGATAGAATGCAAAAAGTTTTTACCCTAGGATGGGAGAGTAGTTCAGTGGTAGAGCACTTGCCAAGCAAGTGCAGTGTTTGGTCCCCAGCACTGTAAAACTAACTAAATAAAAGTTATTATGGTATATTGTTTAGGGAATAATGACAAGAAAAAAAAAACCTCTACATGTTCAGAACGAAGAATTTCAATTTTTTTCAAGTATCTTCCTTCCATAGTTGATTGAATACATGGATGTGGAACCCATATATAATATTAGACTAAATTGACAAGATATGTGTGAATTGTGTTTCATCTGTTTAGTCTAGGCAAGGAGACTGTTTCATAAACTTTGGTGCAGTGTGAGAAAGTAGAGGATGGGGCTGAGGATGTGGCTGAGTGAAGGATTCAATCCCCAGTGTCATAGATAGATAGATAGATAGATAGATTGATTGATTTTTTTTTTAAATAGAGGGTACAATTTTTTGTAGGACTCCATAGTATTCCTGAAACCTTTCCCCTTGAGGTTTTCCTCTTTATTCTTTTGTAGTGTTCTGTAATCGTTAAAATACAAAATCAGCAGGTGCTTGTACTTTATGTCAATTCTATTGTGATATGATGTACATAAAATTAGACACAAATGTTTAAGTATATAGTTTGAGTTTTGACACCGATGGAACCACTAACCCTAATCACGATAAAGAAGATTCCTTTCACCTCAAAATGTTCTCTTTCGAAGTTTTGTAGCTAGTCCCCTCTCACTCAGACCCGGGCCACCAGTAAATTACTTCCTTCACTCTTAGATTAATGTTTAAAAATTGGGCACCCAGCTGGGTATAATGATGCATACCTATATAGTTCCCAGCTATTCAGAAGGCTGAAGCAGGAGTATTGCTTCCAGGAGTTCAAAGCCATAATTCACTCTTGCCAGTTGGATGTCCTATGCACTATACACCAAGTTGGGTCTCAGTATGGTGACCTCCCGGCAGCAGGCAACCACGAGGTTCCCTGGGGAGGAAGAATGAATGGGCTTTTGTCAGAGGCCAAAAACTGGTGCTGATCTGTAGTGGAATTGTGCCTGTTAATAGCCACTACAGTTTACCCTCGGCAACATAGTGAGATACTGTCTCTTATTTCAAAGCACCCGATATGGATTTTCTACCTTTGTATGTTACCCCCAAAAAGAAAATACGTGAATTATTAGTTCCATTTCCTGAAAGGGCATTTTAATGCATCAGTGTAAGAGAGGAAGGAGTGTAACCTGAGGATAAAGCCTGGTCATTTAAATTGCATAGGTTTTACTTTCTTAAAACTCACAACACTATCCTCATTTTTCTCAGTTTCATGTAAGATGATGAAAACTTTGTTGTTTTCAAACAGTGTTTGAGAACGACTGTATTAGATGGCTACTACCATGTAACCACTGTGTTAGATGAGAACTACTGTGTTAAGGTCTCTTCAAATCGTAAGATTTCAGGCTGCAATGGGAAAATACTCTAGCGCTTCACCTCTTACTTTCTCTTCCCTCTTGTGGTAACCACAGAAGAAGCGAGTGGAGGGCCCTGGCTCCCTGGGCCTGGAAGAGTCAGGAAGCAGGCGCATACAGAACTTTGCCTTCAGCGGAGGACTCTACGGGGGCCTGCCCCCCACGCACAGTGAAGCAGGCTCCCAGCCTCACGGCATCCATGGGACAGCGCTCATCGGTGGCTTGCCCATGCCATACCCAAACCTCGCCCCTGATGTGGACTTGACTCCCGTTGTGCCATCAGCAGTGAACATGAACCCCACACCAAATCCTGCAGTCTATAACCCTGAAGCTATAAATGAACCCAAAAAGAAGAAATATGCAAAAGAGGCTTGGCCGGGCAAGAAGCCCACACCTTCCTTACTGATTTGATATTTTTGGTCATGGAAACGGGTGGGACTGGGTGGGAATGGGGTGGAAGGGTGACAGGGGAGCTAATGAACTAGGGAGAAAACTTTCCATGTGTGCAGTATCGTCTTTCAAGATGTCTCCTGGGGTCCTAACCATGTAATACTGAGACGGGATGGGACTGAAATACCCCATAAAGACCTGTCTTCAGAACACTTTCAGTGCAGAGAAAGGTTTCATAGGTCTTTTTAAGTAGACTGCCCTGGCTCTTTCCCAGGCCTTGCATTGCCTTCTCACCCCCCCCCACCCTACCCCCCCGCCGCCCCATCTAGCATGGTCTTCATGTGAAGTCACACACACCTCAGATTGGATCCAGAGTTGTGGGGGTAACAGTGGTCTCTGCAGCCTCAGGGATCCAACAGTCTCGTTTATATTCACTACCCTTGCAATTCTAGGTAGCAAAAGGGTTACCATGGATCCCAGGTTGATCTTCAGTTAAGCTAAGGTTTAAACTCAAAAGTGTTTTCTTGGGTCAGTGGTTTTGAGGTCCAATAGTTAGGCTTTTCTCTTCATCCTTTCTGTTGGAGTAAGAAACATTTTGGTTTCCCTTCATCTGTGACCAGTGCCATGGGCACAGGTTTATAGTTTTTAACTTACAGTGTTGTTTGAATGTTACCTGTTTTTCTTGTCCATCCTGAGCACTCCACTTGCCTAAGTTTCTTCTTTAATTCCTGGGTACTGTCCTCTACTCTGTTAAGATGTTACTTTCCTTTTCAAGTGTGTTATGAGGCAGTTTTTAAAGAATATGACCAGTTAGGACAATTCAGATTGAAAGGATTTTACATTTCATGGTCTCTGGTGTCTCTTAGGAGGACATTTTACCTGTTGGTTTGGAGGCTTTTCTTCCCCCCCATTCTGCCCCCTGCCCCTCCCTTGGATGAGAGCTCTGGTTATTCAGAACTCCAAGACTAGACCTGGCTAGCACAGGAGACAAAGGTAGGAAACATTGATATGAACTTTGTACAGAGATTTGTACATTTGTGTAATAGGCCTTTTCACGCTTTATGTGTAGCTTTTTACCTGTAACCTTTATTACATTGTAAATTAAACGTAACTTTTGTCATTCGGGTGCAGTCTTGAGTCCTGTCACTACCATCAATGATTCCCACTGCTGTCAGGGGACATTTGTCAGAAGTATGGCTGCTGGGCTTGGGAGGTGGTGCCCTGTCCCCATTTTACTACCACAAATAAAGATGGCCCCTGAGGAAAGTGGGAACTCTTAATTTGAGATTCTAGTCTTTAGACAGGCCTCACATAGCAAAGTGGTGTAGGAGATGTTTCTTGCCCTTCATCAGGAGACAATAGGGCCTCATAAGTGGAGGCTGGGCTTTAGGGCATTAGTCCTGGGGTGAGCATGATTTAAGCCTGGTCACCCAGTCTTCATGCATTTGTACCGTAGCTTGAATGCACAGGAGCAAAAGGAAGCCAAGGTTGAGTAAGTTTGGGGGGATTTCAGCAGGAGCTTGGGTGGAATGGATGTGTCCTATGTACTGGAGTCTCATTTGCAGTAAGTGTGCTGTGTGCGATGAGATGTGGCTTTCTAATGAAGACGCCAAGTAGATTCCAAATCCTGTGAGTTGAAGCCCGGTGTGGTGGCACACAGCTATAATCCTAGCACTTAGAAGGCCAAGACTACAAAGTGAGATTCTGTCTCAAAAAAAGAGACAAATCCACTTGAAGCAAGAACAGCCTTCTAAGCATTGATGAAGTCACAGCGGTACAAAAAGTTGATGCCTCCACAGGCTGTGTAAAGGTAGGAGTCCTCATCTCATGAAGGTAATACATTCCTCATTGTATTGAAGACTAGTGGAAATTGACAGTCACGGCTTCTGGGATGAGATATGGTGAGGGGTCTGCTGGTGAGACCCATGCTGGGGTGAGCTGTCATTCCATTGTGCTCAGCTGTAGCTGGGTTTTCTCTCTGAGTTTATTTTGAAATTTCTTTCAACTTTTTTTTTTGATAGTGCCAAAATTGAACTCAAGACCTTGTGCTGCTAGGCAGATGCTCTACCACTTGAGCCATGTCTCCAGCTGTTTTTTTGTTTTTTTGTTTTGTTTTTTGTGGTACTGGGGTTTTTTGAACTCAGGGCCTACACCTTAAGCCACTCCACCAGCCCTTTTTTTGTGATTTTTTTCAAGATAGGGGCTCAAATCCTCCTGATCCCTGCCTCCTGAGTAGCTGGGATTATAGGCATGAGCCACTGGTGCCTGTCTCTCCAGCTGTTTGAAGTTTAAAAATGTCCAAACTGGACAACTTATTGGGAGTATAGTATAGTATAGGGGGGGTTAGATGTAGTTTATATAAAACATCCTTCTTAGTGAAGAGTTACATCATGCATTTTTGGTTTCAGAATAAAACTTGAACTAGCGTTTCTAGAAAGGCTCAAAAAACATCCAGGTCTGCAAGGATATTTCTTCCACTTCAAGAACCTGGTCAAGTTGAGCCCAAGCAGGACTAGCTGCATTTTGTCCTACAGGGCGTAAGGAAACAAATGTATGGCTGGGTTGTTTCTGATTTATTGAAATCATGGACTAGTGCCCCTCAAAGATGAGCACCTCAAGGAGCACCCAAGGAAAGGACTCAATTGCCTCTTGTCCTTGTCTAGCTGTGTGTGACTGATGGTGCTAAAGGACACAGCTTGTCCCATTCAGGTCTGTCCTGGATGAGAAGTGATTGTTGGTTTTTCCATAGTCCTTTGCACACTACACTAGTGAAAAGCCAAGTAGGAAACGCATAATCCATGTTCTCCCTAGGCCAGAATAGGATGAGGAAGCCTGTGGAGGACACCCACTAACCATTCAGGTGGCACCCAGGGGATCCCTGCTCAGAATCAGCTGTTTGATGACTGCTTACCTAAAATATGATTCTCATGGGCAAATCATAGAATTATAGAGTCAAAACAGACTCAGAAGACCCTGTCCAGACCCCTCAGTTTTGATGACAAATGTTGGTAGTGCAGACACTTCACACAACTGTCATGGATTGAACATCTGTGAATTGAGCATATGGAAGCTGCTGCTGCCCACCAAAGGCCCACCTTCCAGGAGGAAACGACGACACACATGCTGTTGAGATTGCTGAGGGCCTTCGCAGAGGGATGGGTAGATGAGATGAGAACAGCTAGCTCCTGATTGAGACCTGGGAGGCAGTAAGGAGTCCAGGGAAATAACACCTGAGCACTAAAGGACAAATAGGAACTTGCTACTTGACAGTATGCCAAGGTTTTCCAGGCAGACCCCTGAGAGAGACATGGAAGGAGGACGTGGCACGGGGATGACCGAGGCTGGGCGGAAGGAAAACCCATCCTGTAAGTCTTGCTGGGGAATTTCAAAATACTAGAAAGAACTTTATTTTAAAAAGTTCAACTGGGCATTGTAGCTCACACTTAGAAATCCTAGCACTTGGGAGGCTAAGACAGGAGGATTTCAAGTTGGAGATCAGCCTCGCTCAAAAAAAAAAAAAAATTTGGGAGCCTGTCACCAGCAATCACACCCATAAATCCTAGCTACTTGGAATGCTGAGATCAGGAGGATTGACGTTTGAGGCCAGCCTGGGCAAATAGTTCACAAGATCCCCATCTCCAAAATAACTAGAGCAAAATGGATTGGAGGTATGATTCAAGCATTAGAGAACCTACTTTGTAAGTGCAAAGCCTTGAATTCAAACTCTTAAAAAAAATTTTTTTTTAAAGCTTGGCACTGGTGGGTCACACCTGTAACATAGCGACTTGGAATGCTGAGATCAGGAGGATTGCAGTTTGAGGTCAGCCCTGGCCAAAAAAAAAAAAAAAAAATTGTGAGACCCAACCTCAAGGGAAAAAAAGCTGGGCATGGTGGCATGCACCTGTCATCCCAGCAGGGCAGGAAGTCTAAAATAGGATCCATGGGTCCAAGTTGGCCTGGGAAAAAAACAAGACCCTACCTCCAAAATAACTAGAGCAAAAGGGCTGGATAAAGCAGAACAGTGCCTGCCTGTAAAGCCCTGAGTTCAAACCCTAATACTGCCAAAAAAAAAAAGTAAGATTATAAAAGACATGCTTGTGTAGATCCCTCTGTGGGAAGAAGGGGGGAAAGGAGGAGGATGAGAGAAGAGGGTCATGAAATCATGGTGAACGGAAGCCACTCCAAGCAGGGGAACTGCAGAAGATAGGACAAGTGCACTGGAATCACTGGCACGTGACAAGGTGGTGGAAAAGCCCTTAGGTGCCTACAGAGTTCACTGTTGGCTCTGGAGAGATTCTGGGGCTTCCACTTCTCTGGAGCAGGGGTGCAGTTCCAGAGTTAACCAGCAGGAGGGCCCTGCACTCACCCTTAGAGCCAAAGGAGCTGGTAAGAAAAGGAAGAAAAATAAGGTTGACTCACTATTGAGCACCGTGCTGGGTATTTTCTGTGTGCTGTCCTCCTCAGTTCCCTCAACATCCCTGAGAGGAAGTTAATAGTGGCCCATTTTACAGATGGGGAACTTGAGGCTCAGAGCACAGGGACCAAGGTCACACACAGGCAAGTGGTAGAGCACCTTGTTTACAAGTGGTCATGCTGTTTTGGACCATAAACAGGAAAAGGCAGTCCTGGCTCTGCTGCCTTCCTGTTCCTGGGGCCAAAGAGGGACTGTGGATTTTTGGTCCCTTTCTGATTTTTCTCTCACTTGATTTCCTGCCCTTGTGTTTCCATCTCTGACCTCCTTGTGGTAGGTGGGGCTTCAAGTGCTGGTCCACACCTAGGCCAAGTTAGAGCCAGGAAGCTCTCTACAGATACTTGTACTCGTGGCCATGGGACAAGATTCCTGTCAAGAAGGGCAGATGAGATGCAAAGGCGAAAGGCATCAGAAAAGTCCCTCCAGGCCTGCCTGCCTCAGCCTCCCCACATCGCACTGCCCTCCATTAATTACTGCAGCTGTGAGGAGCCTGCCTTCCCTGCACCATACATACTGCCTCTCCTTGGGGTCATTAGCAACAGCATCCAAGCTCACCATTGTTCTCACTATAAAGGAAAACAAAGCAAAAGCCTTATCTCAACTCCCTGTCCTCACCAGCTCCTATTTCTCTGCTGCCCAGGTCTTTGCATCCATTTGCTGCAGAATCTGCTCCAATTAGACGTGTGCCCCAACATGGCCCCAGTCGGCCGTGTTGGCTTCTCTACTCAGAATACTCCAAAGGCCTCTCATAATCCCCAATAAGAGCCAGTCTGACCATGGCCGCAAGTCTTGCCCTACTCCTCATGCCCTTGCCCTCCCGTGGCCTCTCTACCTCCCACTCTTGTCCCCTGACTCACTCTCCTGCAGCTACCTTGGCACCTGGTCCCCCAACCCTGAAGGCAAAAATGCCTGCCCTTGCCCTGTGGCTGGAACTTTCTCTAGACATCAGCATGGCTCCCTCAATCCCTGCCTGCAAGTTGTTAGAAATAAGAACCCCGAAGGTCACAACTGAAGACACAGAAACAGAGAATTGTCTCAGCAAGGCAAATTTACTTCTGCAGATGGGTGCACAGGCACAGCAAGCACGAGGAGCAGGCAATAGGTCCTCATTTTTATTCCTGATGCTGTGGGCCCTGCCCCTTTACCTGGATTGGTCAATTCAGGTGCACAATCTGGTTGCAATTGACTAATGGTACATTTGGAATTTGGGGTGGGGTAGGTAGTTATTTAGGCATGAAAACGGAGCTCAGTGAATAAGAACCTGGCACTGTGAGAAGCTAAGATGGTAACACACTTAGATAGGAAAGACTGTTTTCCTCACAGTTTCTCTGTCTTTTCACTTTCCGTTCTTTTCTTCAAACTCATTTAACATTATTTGACTTTATTTCAGCTTTACTCAACAGCAATTGATGTGATATGGGTTTTGTTTAGTTAGGGTGGTTTCTACGTGTCCAAGAATTAGTTCCCGCATACAGGGTATAACACACACCCGGTTAAAGCCATCGCCCCAAATACAACCATGAGAGATGTTAAGATTGAGGTCATCACTCTTCCATTTTCCAAACCATTGTTCTATCCAGTTAGTAAGGGAGTCATTTATCCCTGAGTTCTTAGCCAACTGTCAGGGCTGTCAGGCCTTGGAGAGCCCTAG